GCTGGTGCGTTCCTCTACAATTGGTGCGTTTCCATGCAGCTGGCCCTTCTATCACCAGCTGGGATGCGGAAGTGTAGCACTAGCAGTCAGGTGGTCACAGATGGTGTTTCTGTAGTTATGCTTCTGTAATGGCTGACTTTCCTGTGTCTGTCTGTCTGTGTCTCAATGTGTTTCTCTGTCTACCGTTTGTGTGTCTGTCTTTCTGTGTCTGTGCCTGCTTGTCTGTATAGCCATGTCTCCCTTTCTATCCACCTATCTGTCTGTCTGTTTGTCGGCCTTTCAGTCTTTTTCCCCTTTTCCTGTTTCCTGTCTTTCTGTCTTTCTGGAAACTTGTTTGTGTCTTCTTGTCTGTATCTATCCGTCTGTTTATAATATATTGTGTTCTCTGTCTGTCTTTGTCTGTAAGTTTGTCTTTCTGTTAAGCATAGATCATTACCCCCAGTGCCGGATTTAGACCCGTGGAGGCCCATGGGCAGCCTCTTTGTGGAGGCCCCCTCATTATAACTACCCAAGAGGGTGGGGTGGCGAGTGAAGCGAGCCTAAACATCAGGGAGTTCCGGGGAGCGCTGTAAGCCCCCCTGGAAAATTTTGAAATTTGAACACTTCTTTGGAGAATTTTGAAGCCATATGCAGTTATATGCAGTTATATTGAGGAAATTAGAACATTGAGAAATTTTTAATTAACTGTATATTTATTGATAGTGTACAAATTCCCAACACACACACACACACACACACACAAAAGTGAGACATGACTGGAGTCATTCATGTGGTTTCAAGTCGACCAGCCCTGATATAGCTACTACCGCACATGTTAAAAATTTTCAAGAGACTTCACAGAAAAGAATATATTATTAGTTATTACAGATGATTCTTTGCATTATTAATCAGATAAACCTCTACTCAAATAATGGTTCTGTCCAAGAATGCATGTATAGGCTTCTTTAAGTCCAAGGTCAGATAGATCCAGAATAAGTATTAACTCAACTGATGGCATTCGTAATGGAAGTGATAATGAAAAAAATATTTTATTTGTTTTTTTTTAATCTCAGTTTCGTTATTCCATGTAGTTCATTTTTAATCAATATATTTTTGTGAAATTCTAAATATATTATTAGCAACACAAACAATAGCATTCATTAAAAATATACGGTTCATAGGAATACTAGGTATTCATGAATTTCAAGGAGTAGCTCGCCTAATTTCTATCACGCTTCTTGCTGAACATAATTTTACGTGATGGAATAGATAAACATGAATTTTAAAGAATGAAAATAAAAATAATCCAAATGAATAAACAAATAAATAAAATATTGTAATATGTGGAGGCGCCTGGGCAGCTGCCCACTTTGCCCACTCATGAATCCGGCCCTGATTACCCCGTTATCACCACCGTAAACAGAGAGTTGTACTGCTCACTCCTCACCACCTACTTCATTAACCTGTCACCTTCACAAAATGTCCCGTGACAAAATAAATGAAATATTATACATTATCGTCAGTTCAGTGTTTTCATTTTTCACTAAGTACGTTGATCATCTCTGCCCACTCCCCCTCTCCGCCCTCTGAGGTGGTGTTGGGGGTGAGGGAGTGGGAGTGAGTGGGGAAGGGTGTGAGTATGAGGGCATAGAGGAGGCGTGGGTGGGGAAGGAGTGGGTCCGGGGGCGTGGGTGGGGGAGAGATTGGGCGTGTGGTCATGGAGAAATGCAGTGTATCCCCTCCACCCACCACAACGATGTGTACTACCGGAGGCTTCACGTTCATGTAGCTGTCACCCAAGGTGTGTGTAGACGGGTGAGTCACAAAAGATTAGTTCAGGTGACGTCACGCAGCCCGCGCTAGCCTGGCCAGAAGTAATACTTGGTAAACTCTTAAAGAAAAAAAAGCAACGTTTAATTGTTTCTGAATTGAAACGATCTGGAGGTATCTCAACAATTTAACTGTAATATATATATATATATATATATATATATATATATATATATATATATATATATATATATATATATATATATATATATATATATATATATATATATATATATATATATATATATATATATATATATATATATATATATATATATATATATATATATCGCACAACTCTCTTCTGGGCGGTTAAGAGGTATGATATAATGATATATGATATTCATTTCTTGGGAAAATACTTCGATTGGTAGATTAGGCCCCTAGGCTTACACTAGCGACACTATTTCGTCTTTCGCGGCGAAAACACAGTATACAGCTGCCCGACCCGGCTTAATTTTATCCTCGGCCTCCGGACCCCCCCCCAAAAGTGGATAGCTCTCTGCTATAAAACCTCCTTTATTTCCCACTTCCTAACTCTACCTTCCTCCCACACCGTCTTCCATCTTCAGGGCAAACGGCTCTCTTCTCTCCATCTCATCATCATCAACAGTGGCTTGTTAACGAGCCGCCGCTCGGTTCAAGCAGCTTCTTTTATGTTTACAAAAAAAGTAAAATTACACCATATCATATTAAGTTATTTTTGTTTATTGTGTCGGAGGTTTCGCCGACTAGAAGTTAGGTAAGGTTTGGTAGGTTTCTTTGGTTAGGTTGGTGCTGTCTTTTAACAATGCTTCGGCCGCTTGTGTTATTTATCAACTAAGGTTAGCTTAGGTTTAATTTAGAAATACCCACTTTTTAGCAGTTTTGCCCAAACTTCGACAGTGTTCACTGCAAAACAAAGTGAAATTACGGTATTTTAAAATTTATTTTCGATGAAAAATCGGCAACAGTTATATCGTCAACAGGGAAGTGTGCGGTCACGGGTCTGTCCGCCCTCCACCACCACTATCATCACCACGCCCCCCTCCGTCATGCCCTCCACCACCACGCTTTCCTCCTTCATCCCCTCTTTCCCCCTTCCCCACCATATTACTTCCCTCCTTTCTCCTCCCCACATGCACCACATCACTCCCACCACATTTGAAACACCTGTTCACGTCCACCACCTGCTGGCAGTCACCACGTCGTAAAGGGAAGCTCCTGTGACGGGTTGTGTCGTGTGGACCCCACCAGTACATCTCTAAAATGAATGAACCAATTTTGTTGAAACTTCTGCACTGTTATATAGCAACAGCTCGGAGCAAAATGGTTGTAATTGGGGTGCTCTTGGACTGAGGTCAAGTTCACAATAGAAGGTCAAACAAGTGGTACTGGGAGGTCACTGGAAGTTGATTTCCGTTTTATGTTTCTCATAGTTACATCCAAAAGGAAGCATCGAGTCCTTAGTTGATTGTTACCCTGGGAGTCGAGGGTCAAAGACTGCTCACGTAACTACATTATTTAGGAATGTGCCTGACGGCTTTTTTCTGAATCGGCCTATCGGTTGTTCAGTCGTCTTTTCAAGGAGGAGGCAGAAGTTCCTTGTTATATGAAGCCCCCCCCAAAATATACATATCAGGCTAGGACTGGGAGTGGCTTCTAGGGGCAACCCGGACCCCACGAAAATTTAGTCAATCTTCGAGATACCATCCTCGTATCTGAGGGTTGGCGAGTTTGGTCCTCCCTCCACTCGTAGCTGATCTAAAATATAAAACAATCTAAACACATCGTGGTCAGCCCCCGGAATTGCTTAATAATTTTTTCTTGTACCGTAACACTCCTGATAGCCACCGTCACCCCCGTCACTCACTCCACAATATAACACAAATGCAACAATATTTTCAGTACGTAACATAGAAAAGCAAAGGAAAGAAAGCACGTGGTTGTTTATACACATATATTAGCATCTGATGGTTATAAGAGACTCTGTGTTACGGCCTCAGTGGGACTGTAGACCTGACACGGTTCCCAGAGTGCAGGGTGTGTCGCCCCAGGGAGGTGATAGAGCTGGATTCACTAAGGTGAATTACAGCTAAACGCTCCCTGTACTAAACGTAGATGCTGTACCACAGGTAAACAAGACAGATATAAGCTGTTTGCACTACCGTATAAGTAGATAGGTGAACCATAAGCAAACAAAACATAGACAGGTAGACAGACAGGCCGGGTTTATAAGTGGCTGGTGATTTACGAACCGCTGAATGATGTGGTGAATCACGTGTGTGGTTGCCCCCCCCCCCCTGCTGTAGATTGCCGCTGGCTCTGCCATAAACATCACAAATGATGAAGGAATTATTGAACCAAAAAATTCGTTTAGTCGAGAACGTAAACACTAACGCAGATTGTATTACGACTTTCCTAGTTCTCTAAACGTTTTCCGGTCTTTAAACGGGTTACTGCTTATCGAGGCGTTTCTGATCTTAACATTTTTTGGGGGTTTTAACGTTTATTGGTGCCCAAAACGTTTCCAAGCCTAGTGGTGGACGTTCCTTGTGTTCGATGAAACATTCTCACAGATTACAGATTGCTCCGGAGGGGGCTAGTTTATTGGGCATCCCCTTACATCCTGTGCAAGGTGAAGCGCAGAAGCGTTTACAGTGCCCAACAGGGAAGCATGCGGAGTTCATGCTTGCCTTTATGACTCATGCATTAAGGGCGTGGAAGACAATTCTCACTGTTTTCCATCCTTAGTGTACGGTGACCTTGGTGACCCCTGTCTGAGTCTCAGCTCTGTGTTTTGTTTACTACTTCTGAGAGAGAGAGATTAATAGTCAGGTAAAGTATCAGCTGTGTTCATCACCCACTGATCATGATGGCTGATAGCTCGCCCTGTGTGTGTACTACTGTGTGTGTGTACTACTGTGTGTGTGTACTACTGTGTGTGTATGCTGTTGTGTGTATACTAGTTTGGGTATTTGCACCACGGTATGTTTACCATTTGTGTGTGTGTGCGCGCGCATGTGCTAAAGCTTGTATTTACTTTCTGTGCACATAGTGAATACATAGTGAATTATAGTAGTCACCTGAGGATAATTCGATATTGTGTGTGTGTGTGTGTGTGTGTGTGTGTGTGTGTGTCGTTATGTAACCACACGCTGTATGCCTTACTAAAACATCACCATGTATACATGTACCATAGGTGTCAGATAATGGAGTTGTCACAGGAGAGATTCTTGTGTGACGATAACGGTATGAAGGCCGCCCACTACCGCCCACGACCCCAGTCACGAGATAGACCAGGTCAACGTCCTCCCTCTGACCCACCCCCTCTCTCTCTCTCTCTCTCTCTCTCTCTCTCTCTCTCTCTCTCTCTCTCTCTCTCTCTCTTAAACTATCTATGAATCTGTCTCATTCCTTCCTTCCCTCTACCTCTCATTTCTCCCTTCCTTCCTTCCTTCCTTCCTTCCTTCCTTCCTTCCTTCCTTCCTTCCTTCCTTCCTCCCTCCCCATCCTCCCTCTCTCCCTTCCTTCTTCTCACCGCCCTTCCCAACCTGGAAAGCAACAATCACGAAACCTCAACCAGTTATTAGCGAGAGTTTTTACGGGTTCAAACCCACAAGACGAAGACGGCTATGTGGGGTGTGGTGAGGAGACTGTGCAATGCGGAACTAGGAATACACACAAAGAGGCAGGCAGGCAGGAGTTAAAAACAGGTCTTGGTTGAGTGAGGTTGGAGGAGGTCGTGGTGTGGGCTGTCTGGGTCACCTGTTGTTGTTTTGTATTTGTATATTTTTGTATAGTTTTGTTGTTATTATCATCTGTGTTGTTCTTGGTGGTGTAGTTGTTGTTTTCGTTACTGTTGTTGGTAGTGATCTCAATTATGAAAACATCACAACAAGATGACATACCGGTATAGTTTCCTTTAGTTAGTTTTATCATGAGATGTAAACAGAGTAATAAGTTTAATTAATGAGTGATCGATGTTGTGTTTTCAGAGTCTGAGGGTTCCTGCCTGTTGGATATACTGGCCAACAGACACGCGAAGTGGGGAGGTCGACTACGTGGTGATCTTATCCTCAATGGTAACCACACCAGACCCTCTAAGGTTAGTCCTATACCACACCCTCCAAAATCAGTCTCACACCACACCCTCCAAAGTCAGTCCTACACCACAACCTCCAAAATTAGTCCTACACCACACCCTCCAAGGTTAGTCCCACACCAGACCCCCCAAGGTTAGTCCTACACCACACCCTCCAAAGTCAGTCCTATACCACACCGTCCAAAGTCAGTTCCACACCACACCCTCCAAGGTTAGTCTCACACCACACCCTCCAAAGTCAGTCCTATACCACACCCTCCAAAGTCAGTCTCACACCACACCCTCCAAAGTCAGTTCCACACCACACCCTCCAAAGTCAGTTCCACACCACACCCTCCAAAGTCAGTTCCACACCACACCCTCCAAAGTCAGTCCTACACCACCCTCCAAAGTCAGTTCCCACACCACACCCTCCAAAGTCAGTTCCACACCACACCCTCCAAAGTCAGTTCCACACCACACCCTCCAAAGTCAGTCCTACACCACACCCTCCAAAGTCAGTTCCACACCACACCCTCCAAAGTCAGTTCCACACCACACCCTCCAAAGTCAGTTCCACACCACACCCTTACCGGTTGACTTAAAGATAAAACCTAAAAGAAAAAGTCCACATAAACCATGAAGACTACACCGAGACTCCTGTAGATACGTTCCCTAAACACCGTGAAAATTAACATCCACTTAACACCAACTAAGGTACCAAACGCCCTCTAACTGGTGCTAAATATATGAATCAAGTTAAGGTAGAGTGTCAGTGTAGTTTTAATGGCAAATTTGGGTGTAATTATTGTGTGTGTTAACCTTAAGTCAAGCATTTAGGTCCATTATTAAATCTTATCTTACGAGGAATATTAATCGTAGAAATATTTGGTAACCTGACCTGTTTCTGGAGCTGCTTTGACCTCTTGTTTAACCTTTATTTGAGCCTAAGAGGTTAATGCCCTCTTTTGACCCCACACACTGACATTTGTATTCACTTAACCTATTACAGTAATGTCTTATTGAATGATCTATAATTAGTCTTTACTTCAATAACCAATAATTATACGCATTAGTCTTATAAGTTATAGACAGTCGATGAAAATCGTTATTAATTCTAACTTACAAATCACCTGTTTTGTTAAGTCACGTATTAATGTCATCACAGGTACTGCTTTAGTGTTCACCTGTTGGGTATTTTTGTAAGTAGGATTAGGTTATTCTTAATGGGACTATTATGTTAATCACCACCTACCATCTCGCCATCACCTCATAACCAACTCACTACGTCAGCTCTCTACCACCACACCACCACCAGCAACTCACCATTACCCCACCACCACACCCTGTTCAACACAACCTCCTTCGGCAGGTGGCGGCGAGGGCGGCCTATGTACAGCAGGACGTCAACTTCTGCCCCGACATGAGTGTTCGTCAGACCCTCCTCCTCCACTCCTTCTTCCGCTCCTCCGGCGACCACTCCAGGGTCAGAGAGGTCAAAGCCAGGGTGAGTACTGAGTCAGTGAGGTCAAGGTCAGGGTGAGTACTGAGCCAGGGAGGTCAAGGTCAAGGTGAGTACTGAGTCAGTGAGGTCAAGGTCAAGGTGAGTACTGAGCCAGGGAGGTCAAGGTCAGGGTGAGTACTGAGTCAGTGAGGTCAAGGTCAAGGTGAGTACTGAGCCAGTGAGGTCAAGGTCAAGGTGAGTACTGAGCCAGGGAGGTCAAGGTCAGGGTGGGTATTGGGTCACAGTGGCACCCAGTCGGAGTTCTCCATCCAAACGAGAGTAAACCAGGACGTGTACTGGCACCAACTTTTATCTCCATTTCCTCGGCTACCTTCCTTACCCGTTCCAGTGCCACTCTAGCCAGTGGGGTGGACATACAATACGACGACCCCAGGAAAGGACAAAGGTGTTGGTCACTTCCATCACTGAACTTCATTATGCCGAAGACTTTACCCTCGTCACTCACACTAAACATGACCTAACCACATATCCTGAACACCTTATGCAGACGCATATGCACACTTCGGCCTTGATGTGATTGTACACGAGCCATATATTCTGTTCCAGCCTGCCCCTGGTTCAGCCACATCACCACCCATCCAGGTTAACAGGACCACCCTCTCCAACATTAACCAGACTGAAGATGAAGAGATCCAACATCGAATCAGCTGTACTTATCAAGGTATTTAGAAGTCGTAGGTCACATATAGGCGACACCTGCAGTAAGGCAAGGGAGTTTCTACTGGGTAACAGCACATGTGAATGTGTGGGGCAATGAGAAGATGGACAAGGTGGCCAGGGGTGCTGCGCCCCATCTAGCACCTGTACTTAAACCACTCCTGTATCAGGTTATGCATCTTGGTATCATATGTAATTCTTTACTTTACCTTTTAAGGATTTCTGGCCACTTCGCCTTTCGGCTATATCGGCCGGAGCTGTTTGGGTCTTATTATACTCGGTCTCCTTACCTCGGTTTCCTTACCTCGGTCTTACCATTCAGGCCGAGAGGTCACCTCCAGCAAGCGAGATGTCACGGGTTCGATTCCCGGGCCGGTGGAAGTTGTTTGGACTTACTTCCTAGCCCCCATTAGTCCCTGTTCACCTAGCAGTAAAGTAGGTACCTGTTGTAAGTCGAAAGTTGCGAATTCATATTCAGGGAAAGTTGTTGGAGCTTCCAAAAACTTGATGACATAAACCACTGACTCTTCAGGCTTCTACGCCCTTAACTCATGAGACATAAGGCAAGCATGAACTTAGCATGCTTCCCTGTTGGGCGCTGTAAACGCTTCTGCGCTTCACCTTACACAAGGATGTAGGGAAGTGCCCAATAAAAAAAAAAAAAAAAAAATCTTGTCAGCAAAGCTGACTCGTTTCTCAGTACAGTATTGACCAGTGCTGGCTCATATCTCTCTGTGAGTCTGGAGGACCAACATAATCGGTCCTCCCTCGAAGCTCCGAGAGCGACTTCCCACCTCGGAGTTCCAATGTAGACTGATGTATTGCTTGGCAGCGTTGTTGGGATGTTACTGATGGCCCAAACAAGGTCTTGAAGATTACAGCGGAGATTCGCCCCTGGACGCATGCTCGAATGTTACGAAGGTGAGAGACATCCTGGGCCAGGCTTGGCTGACACACAGCCATCTGATGGTACGAGACCCCCAGCCAGAATGCGGTGACTGCTTGTTCCCCTTTACTATTAAAGACTTGCTGGACGAATGTCCTAGTCTGGTGGACCTGAGGGACATCTCCCCAGGACTCGGGGAGGGGATGTTTACTACCACCTGTCCTTGGTTCTTGAGTAAAAGTCTCATTGTCCGAGGATGGAGTTATTCAGTTTTTTGGAGGGGGCTGGCGGCTGTCCTCCTCCAAAATATATGTAAAGGTATATGTTTTATTGATGACTTTATATTATATAATTTTTTATATAAAAATTTCTTTTTTTGTGAACTTGGCGTCACTGTTGCGACGCCAGATGTACTTATATAAATCAGTGAATCGAATTACAGCAAAAAGAAGAGAGATGGTATCTAACTGTCGCTGTGTTTCTAATTGGCTGTTACGGTTTCCGGTCATATTTCTTTGAGTACAACAGACCACATCACCAAGTGTACATATTTTAATGAATTTTAGTGATTTTAGTGTATAGCCCGTGAAGAGTTGGCAAGTTGAGGCTCCGTGGAACTATGTATTTTAGGAAGGATTGTGTCCCCTGCAGTGAGGTTTTTCACGACTGTTTTGTATAGCTGTGAACTCATTAACTACTCTTGCTCCTCAGCCCACCACAGGGCGCCTCGGGCTGACCTCCTGGAAGTACACACACACACACACACACACCAGGCCGTCATTTCATTCTAGAGTACCGCTCGTTCCTGAGGCCCTACCTAAATCCCGCGGCTCTGCAAGGTCTTAATACTATGAATTAGACGAAGATTACAGCTTATCAGGAGTATTGCGGCTTCTCTTGTGGTTTTCAGGTAGCCCCGCTTGTTGGCCAAGTTTGATGAGTGTGGCAATAAATATACCTGAATTCTGAGGCGTATACTGAGGTACAGGGACGAGCTGCTGTACCTGTTTATGTATTTCCGTCCGTTCATTCATTCGTTCGCCTATTCATCCGTCCATCCATCCGTTCATCTGTCCGTCCATCTGTTCACCCTTCCATCCACCCGTTCATCCGTCCATTCATTCACCTGCCTATCCATCCGTCCGTTCTCCTGTCCATCCATCCGTTTACTCGTCCATCTATCCGTTTGCCCGTTTACTGTCCATCCATAGGGTCACACATCCGCCCGCCCTGTACACCATCCCCACACAAACCCGATCATGTTGACAGTTGAGTACTTCCTCAACATCTTAATCAAGTGATGATTCGCCACCAGCTTATTTTTTTTTAAATAACTTAACGCTGCCTGAGAGGGTTAGGTTAAGTTAACTTGAATTAGTATTAGGGTAGTTAATCTTAAAGAGAAATAAACTGGGGTTCCTACTCCTCACGTGGGCCTAAAAATTTGCCTGCCATCATGTGCACACCACTAACCACCTGCCAGCGTGTGTACAGCACTAACCACCTGCCAGCGTGTGTACACTAATCACCTGCCAGCGTGTGTACAGCACTAACCACCTGCCAGCGTGTGTACAGCACTAACCACCTGCCAGCGTGTGTACACTAATCACCTGCCAGCGTGTGTACAGCACTAACCACCTGCCAACGTGTGTACACTAACAAACAGCCGGCGGGTGTAGTTAGTGGTCCTTACCTCGCTCTTACGACCTCTCGCCCGCCACCATTAATAATAACCCGTCGCGTGGGAAGGAAGCGTCGTGTTGCGAAGAAAAAAAAATGAAACTGGAAACCCGTCTTTACCGACGTTGTTTACTTTGTGTGAATCATCTCTTGTTGATGTCTCTCTTGTTGGTGTTGTATAGAGTTGTTCATTTATTTTGTTGGTGTTTCCTGTGTTTGTGTGCTGTTGAGTCACATGGTTGTTTACGTCTCTTGTTTGTAGTTTATCATCATAATGTGATACACTGTAGTTACTTCATGGCTCTGGATAATAACTAGACTAGCTTAACCACCCAGTTGCGGTCTGATCAACACTCTAAAGCTGCTGATCTTTTTTCCTCAGATCAATGGGCTGATCAACGACTTGGGGCTGGAACAAGTGCGACACACACGGGTTAAGGAGCTAACATTAAGTGAACGTCGGCGGTTGAATGTGGCGTGTCACCTGCTGCTGGAAACCGACCTTGTGCTCCTCGACCAACCCACCCGTGGTATGGACATCTTCGACACCTTCTTCCTCATCGAGTACCTGAGGCAGTGGGCGTGTCGGGGTAGGATAGTGGTAAGTTGAGAACCAAGGATCGTGAGGAAGACTTTGGTGGATGTCCCTTGTTAATGTGACCTCATACAAGGGTACATATAACATGGTAATTTAGATATTTACTCATACACACACACACACACACACACACACACACACACACATACATACATACATACATACATACATATTTACACATACACACATATATATTTACACATACCTGTACATATATATTTATACATCCATACATGCATACTGTTTATGTTTAGACATACACATACATAAATATTTAAACACACACACACACACACACTACTTCCGAGACTTCTTAATTACAATACAATCATATATCATGTATTTCCCACCTACTGTGTCCTGTATCTCTCACCTACTGTATCATGTATCTCCCACCTACTGTATCATGTGTCTCCACAGATCCTAACGATACAGCCTCCCACCTACGAGATCTTCTCCATGATCTCTAGGGTAGCTCTCATTTCCACTGGCCGCCTCATGTACTTCGGCAGGAGACGAGAGATGTTGCCTTACTTTGCCTTCATTGAGTACCCGTGTCCTGCCTACAAGAACCCCTCAGACTACTACCGTAAGTACCCATGTCCTGCCTACAAGAACCTCTTAGATTAATATTGTAAGAACTTGTGTCCTGCCTACAAGAACCCCTCAGACTACTACCGTAAGTACCCATGTCCTGCCTACAAGAACCTTTTAGACTAATACTGTAAGAACTTGTGTCCTGCCTACAAGAACCCCTCAGACTACTACCGTAAGTACCCATGTCCTGCCTACAAGAACCTCTTAGATTAATATTGTAAGAACTTGTGTCCTGCCTACAAGAACCCCTCAGAATACTACCATAAGTACTGTACTTTAATCTACATTTAAAGAAATGCAGTACTCAGTAAACATGTCCAGCTTTTACAAGAAAACCTCAGAGTACTGCTTAAATATTTTTCATGGATATATTGTACCCTGTACTGTGTAATGCATAGGTATTAGAGCAAATGATACTTGGATTGGTATATTTATATATTTCCCTTGATTGAGACGACTTCCCCTTTACGTTCGGTTGCTTAATCCCTAGAGTACAGGTACTTATCCCCTTCAGTACCATAATCCTAATCCCTTGGGTGCAATGACTTAACCCCTTGAATGTAGTGTCATTACAGTCATGGGAGCAAGGTCATCGTATTCAAGGGATTAAACATATATATCATTGATGTATTATAGGTACTTCAATAACCACAGTCTTTCACCAAGTCTCAGTCTAGTTCACTTATACAACAACAACCTTTAAAAGCTAAGATAGTCTATTTACTGAGTTTATCTTAATTACAGTTATATTACTCGTGTGACACTGAGGTACTTGGTGCTGTCTAACTGAACACAACAACATCTCACAGACAAGATTCCAATTACCATCAATAACTCCAATAAAGACAAATAATTTCACTCTAATGCTATTCACTGATTGTAAAGTGACTTACATATGTGCTGTGACTGTGATAATGATGGTACATTGTTCTTCATTGACCTGTTCAGCGCTCGACTGGAGTGTTTCAGTTTCCTCTGACCTTAGATGGTCTCTAGTGTCTGGGTGATGGTCTTAGGGTGGATGACTTCTTTAAGATCTCAGGTAGCACTTGAAAGATGAGTATCCTTTGGATGATAGCCTTGGAGGTCACTATGTATTCATGAGATCCTCAGTCCACTAAGTGCAGAATGAGTTCAAACCCTACCCTACCCTACCCTACCCTACCCTACCCTAAACTAAACTAAAACTAAACTAAACTAGCCTAGCCATATTCCCATTCTCCTCTTTCTGAAATTATAAACAGCACCAGAAACTACTTAATGATCTAACCTTCACAATAGAATCAGTCATTGATTTATTACAAGCTAAGCTGCGACACAAAATACATACGACTCCTTGGTTGTCAATATAATCTTATGGTAGGTGGTTCAGGTCACTATGTTTCAGTCTCACAGTAGATGGTTCATGTCACTATGTTTCAGTCTCTCACATTAGATGGTTCAAGTCACTATGTTTCAGTCTCATGTTTCAGTCTCAGTCACATTAGATGGTTCAAGTCACTATGTTTCAGTCTCTAGATGGTTCACAGTCAGATGGTTCAGGTCAGTCTACAATAGTGGTTCAGTCAGTCTCTCACAATAGATATGTTTCAGTCTCAAGTCACACTATGTTTCAGTCTCTCACAATGGTTCAAGTCACTATGTTTCAGTCTCACAATAGATGGTTCAAGTCACTATGTTTCAGTCTCTCACAATAGATGGTTCAGGTCAATGTTTCAGTCTCTCACATTAGATGGTTCAAGTCACTATGTTTCAGTCTCACAATAGATGGTTCAAGTCACTATGTTTCAGTCTCACAGTAGATGGTTCATGTCACTATGTTTCAGTCTCTCACATTAGATGGTTCAAGTCACTATGTTTCAGTCTCACAATAGATGGTTCAAGTCACTATGTTTCAGTCTCACAATAGATGGTTCATGTCACTATGTTTCAGTCTCTCACATTAGATGGTTCAAGTCACTATGTTTCAGTCTCACAATAGATGGTTCAAGTCACTATGTTTCAGTCTCACATTAGATGGTTCATGTCACTATGTTTCAGTCTCTCACATTAGATGGTTCAGGTCACTATGTTTCAGTCTCACAATAGATGGTTCAAGTCACTATGTTTCAGTCTCACAATAGATGGTTCAGGTCACTATGTTTCAGTCTCACAATAGATGGTTCAAGTCACTATGTTTCAGTCTCTCTGTAGATGGTTCAAGTCACTATGTTTCAGTCTCACAGTAGATGGTTCATGTCACTATGTGTTTCAGTCTCTCTCATTAGTAGATGGTTCAAGTCACTATGTTTCAGTCTCTCACAGTAGATGGTTCATGTCACTATGTTTCAGTCTCTCACAGTAGATGGTTCATGTCACTATGTTTCAGTCTCTCACATTAGATGGTTCAAGTCACTATGTTTCAGTCTCACAGTAGATGGTTCAAGTCACTATGTTTCAGTCTCTCACAGTAGATGGTTCAAGTCACTATGTTTCAGTCTCACAATAGATGGTTCAAGTCACTATGTTTCAGTCTCTCACAATAGATGGTTCAGGTCAATGTTTCAGTCTCTCACATTAGATGGTTCAAGTCACTATGTTTCAGTCTCACAATAGATGGTTCAAGTCACTATGTTTCAGTCTCACAGTAGATGGTTCATGTCACTATGTTTCAGTCTCTCACATTAGATGGTTCAAGTCACTATGTTTCAGTCTCACAATAGATGGTTCAAGTCACTATGTTTCAGTCTCACAATAGATGGTTCATGTCACTATGTTTCAGTCTCTCACATTAGATGGTTCAAGTCACTATGTTTCAGTCTCACAATAGATGGTTCAAGTCACTATGTTTCAGTCTCACATTAGATGGTTCATGTCACTATGTTTCAGTCTCTCACATTAGATGGTTCAGGTCACTATGTTTCAGTCTCACAATAGATGGTTCAAGTCACTATGTTTCAGTCTCACAATAGATGGTTCAGGTCACTATGTTTCAGTCTCACAATAGATGGTTCAAGTCACTATGTTTCAGTCTCTCACAATAGATGGTTCAGGTCAATGTTAAAATGTACTCAAAATATAAAAACTATTTCAGTAACAAAACACGAGCAAAAATACTCTAGTAAATAAAAAAGCATAAGAATACAACACAGCGGACACTTCAAACTCACACCAAATTTATGTAATGGATGCTGCTACCCATAATCATTTCTTTTTCGTCCTGGTCAACTTTAACAACACCACACCTTTCACTAAAGCGATTAATGCTGCCATAAAAACATACAATGAAGCCATCCTGTTCTCCAACTGAGCTCAAACTAGCTGTGTGAGTTGAGCACTTGGCCAGCGGTTCCTTTCGCCAGTGACCAGTGTGCGGATCGTACCGTTGACTTATTGCCTGTAGATGAAATGCTCTCGTGGATTTATTCCAAGGTAAACTCTAGTGGGACAGCAGCTTAACCTAAACTATGCTTGTGTGTGTTTCAGCCGGGCTATGATCTACCAGTTTCCATACAACATGGTCAACTGGCTGGGGATGACTGTGGTGGCGGGGGTGATGAGTGTGGTGGTGGGCGCTGTGTACTGGGACGTCCGCACCGCCCCTACCCAACACCAAGACAACGTCAACAACCGAGTCGCCTTCCACTACGTCATGGCTGGAGTGGCCCTCTGGCCCATCCTCCTCATGGCCATCTCGGAGGTGTGGCGGGACAAACCGGCCTTGGCCAGGGATGTAGACGATGGACTCTATTCTCGAGGAATCTATATTTTGACCAAGGTGGGTGTTTGGCCACTATCTAGAAGGTGTGCAACCACTGTCTAGGTGTGTGTGTGGCCACTGTCAGGAAGGTGTGTGGCCATTGTTTAGAAAGTGTATGGCCACTGTCTAGAAGGTGTGTGGTCAATGTCTAGAAGGTGTATGGCCACTTTCTAGAAGGTGTGCAACCACTGTCTAGGTGTGCGTGTGGCCACTGTCAGGAAGGTGTGTGGCCATTGTTTAGAAAGTGTATGGCCACTGTCTAGAAGGTGTGTGGTCAATGTCTAGAAGGTGTATGGCCACTTTCTAGAAGGTGTGTGACCACTATCTAGGCAAGTGGCCAATGTCTAGAAGGTGTATGGCCACTGTCAGGAAGGTGTGTGGCCATTGTTTAGAAAGTGTATGGCCACTGTCAGGAAGGTGTGTGGCCATTGTTTAGAAAGTGTATGGCCACTGTCTAGAAGGTGTGTGGCCACTTTCTAGAAGGTGTGCAACCACTGTCTAGGTGTGTGTGTGGCCACCGTCAGGAAGGTGTGTGGCCATTGTTTAGAAAGTGTATGGCCACTGTCTAGAAGGTGTGTGGTCAATGTCTAGAAGGTGTATGGCCACTTTCTAGAAGGTGTGTGACCACTATCTAGGCAAGTAGCCAATGTCTAGAAGGTGTATGGCCAGTTGGCCACTGTATAGAAGGTGTGTGGCAAATGTCTAAAAGGTGTATGGCCACTGTCTAGAGGGGTGTGTGGACAGTGTGGCCACTATCTAGGCAAGTGGCCAATGTCTAGAAGTTGTATGGCCACTGTCTAGGTGTGTGATCAATGTCTAAGTGTCATAATTAACACTGATCCTCCTCACCTGTGACATGATTGAATGATCCTCCTCACCTGTGTCATAATTAAATGATCCTCCTCACGTGTGACATAATTAAATGATCCTCCTCACGTGTGACATAATTAAATGATCCTCCTCACCTGTGACATGATTAAATAATCCTCCTCACCTGTGACATAATTAAATGATCCTCCTCACCTGTGACATGATTAAATAATCCTCCTCACCTGTGACATAATTAAATGATCCTCCTCACCTGTGACATGATTAAATGATCCTCCTCACCTGTGACATAATTAAATGATCCTCCTCACCAGTCACATGATTAAATGATCCTCCTCACCTGTGACATGATTAACACTGTTTCACCTCCAACAGATCTGCTACAGTTTTCTAGCAGCAGGTGGGACCTTCTTGGCCTACATCCTGCCAGCGTACACCATGGCAGGCTTCCCCACAGCAGACAAATTCTACTTCTACCTTGGCTACATGTTGCTCTACCTCTTCGCTGCTCGTGCCGTCGCCATCGCTGCCGCCTGTGTGTTCGACGCCCGGCACACTGCGGCCATGACCACGGGTTTCGTCATGACCGTGGCCGTGTTGGGTGCTGGCTTCACCGTTCACCCGCTGGTCAGTGGCTCATCTGTCCCTTTCAGGAACAACATTGAAGTTGGAATCTCTGGGGTCAGATTTTCAGTGATCCTTATATTTAGGGATCAGTTGCCCCTGAGTCGGGTGGGTGTGTGAGGCACTTGACTTGAGCCCCTGAGTGGGGTGAATGTGTAAGGAGCTTGACTTAACTGGGTCAGTTGCTCCTGAGTAGAGTGGGTATATAAGGATCTTGACTTGACTGGGTCAGTTGCTCCTGAATGGAGTGGGTGTATGGACCTTGACATGGCAAGGTCAGTTGCCCCTGAGTAGGGTGGGTGTGTAAGGAGCTTGACTTGTCAGGGTCAGTTGCTCCTGAGTAGGGTGGGTGTATAAGGATCTTGACATGACAGGGTCAGTTGCTCCTGAATGGCATGGGTGTGTAAGGAGCTTGAATTGACAGGGTCATTTGCCCTTGAGTAGGTTGGGTGTGTAAGAAGCTTGACATGGCAAGGTCAGTTGCCCTTGAATGAAGTGGGTGTGTAGCGAGCTTGACTTGACAGGATCAGTTGCCCCTGCATGAGGTGTGTTGGAAAAACTTACCACACTGTCACTCAGTTTTAGACTCTAAGGCAGTGGTCGGCATGTCAGGCACTTTATCATCTCAGTGGGTCGTGTGAGTGGCCCACTTCATATCAGTGGGTCACAAAATTGATACTTGGCATGAGCACTAACCATGACCCCTCAATAACCATAAATTACATTTAACTCAGGCCGAATGTTTCCTAATGAATCATAGAATATAATAAGAACAAAAGAAAGAAGTAATGGTACGTTCAGGACATCATCTCCCATATTACAGTATGCCACACCCGAAGACTAAATTGAGGAGGTGGGGGCAGTTTATAATACAGGGGGTACAGTATTTATTTACGATAATGATTACCTTACAATACATCATAGGTAAACAACCTCCCACAACCACTGGCAGTAGAACACAGAGTTGATTATGAAGTGTTGCCATATCAAGAAACAAGTAGTCCTACTTTATGTGTGAATCTAAATACAGTTTACCTGTACTAAGAAATTAAGTCAAATCAATTAAAATTTCCAGTGAATTATCAAAATATTAATATATATTGATGTTAGTATAAACCCACCAAATTACAAAAATACTTGATACATAATTGCAAAACATTTGATAAATGGTCATATCAGCGCCACTACTTATATGATTCTTTCATGTGCATGGACGTTGGTCAAACATTATGTATCGTGGGCCAAATGTAGCCTATAAACAGCAGGTTGCCCACCACTGTTCTGAAGTCTTCTTGTCTCAGCTTCAAGGGAGCATTAAGACTGACACACAATCAGGAAATTTTTCCCTGGGAAGATTCACTTTAACATGAATGTTAACTTTGGAAATTAAACTCTCATTAACATATCAGAAAATATGAGTCAACTTTATTAAAAGCTTGTGTTTTAATTGGATTTTTATTTTCTTGGTGATATGTGTTTTATGTCACTTTTTCAGATGTTCCAGAATGTGTAAAGTCACTTTAATACATAAAAGGAAAATCTGTTGTTAGTCAGCTGGGGAACCATTTACAGGGTTAATTCTTAGTCTTAGTTAATACCTTCATGGCCTTACTTCACTAACAGATCAGTTATTGATTAAATTGTCACTTTGATCAGTGAATAACACTCTTCCAACAGCAGTAGGTAGTTCATACATTTCTCCCTGAAGATAACAAATAACAGTGTGTGTCTTCGTCACTGCCTCAGGACATGTCAGCGTGGACGTGGCCGACACTCTGGTGGTCACCTGCTCGCTGGGTCCTACACGAGGTCAACCGCTACGAGTTTGACAACACCAACGAATTCCTCTGTGACCGCAACCCAGTCCTGCAGGACTCTGCCTCAGCCATCCAGAGGAAGGTAAGAACTTGGTCAGGACTACTGTAGGGATGAACGAGGTAGGAGGCTGTGGCTCTCTGGGGTGAGGAGGTGTTGAGACGGTGCAGCTGCGTAAAGTGTTCGGTGTGTGTTGGTGAACTGGGCTGGGATTAAGTAGAGGTACAAGATATAACTGGGATGAGCTTAGAAAAGTGAGTATTGTATTTAATATATTTAATATAATGAAGTTGAAATGGAATGAAAATTACTGTATCTTGAAGTGAGGACTTGTGATGGAAGATAGCATGATCAAGGTATGAAAAGGTGTTCATAATGATGAGGGATGCATGAGAGTATCTGGATGGGCTGAGGATCAGAGTTTGGTACAGTAAGTTATTAGAGAAGAGTGGCGACCCTGATGTTAAGCCGGGATGGTGAGAAAGAGGAAGTTTGAAGCAATTTGTTTGTTGAATAAAGGTGTCTCCCACTACCTGCTATTTATGACCAAAAGCTATAAGAATTCTGACCAGTGACTCGGCAATTTAATTCACCTTATGGCTGGAAAATTAGAATAATGCAACTGAATAAAGTATAAGTACAATATTTCATTCTTTCATTCTCTCACTACAGTAGCTACTTTGTTCTTTCCTTTGTGTCATTTTCCTGTGAATCCTATGTTAGTGAGTGTGAGCCTCACTGTACAGGACCAGTCAGCTAGATGACTCTTCTCGTCATCATCATAGTGAAATTTTGCAGTTTATTCACTATAGTGAGTTCCAGCTTCATATAGTAGATGATAAACATTATGATATATTAGAATAAAGTAACTGATTATAGATAGAATTATGTTGGCTATGTGTTGCCACCACAGACAGATTGTCAGCTCCCTCAACATTATGAGTGTCCTCAGTTTAGGTATTCCGTAGCTGTTGTGACCTCTGACCTTTGGCGGATAGGTCATGAGTACTGTATGTGTGTTGGTAATGACTCACCTGGTTGTCCCTGGCAGGCACCATGTGGGGTAGTGACTGGGTCTCAGGCGTTACGTTACCTGGGGTTGCCAGAAACGGCCCTACCAGACCTCTTCTACCCAGCCGTGTTCATCGTTGTCGCCTACCTCTTCAGTCAGCTCATCAGTGTCATCGCTTTCATCGCCAGCAAGAAGCCAAATCGGACCAAGAAATATAGAACTGAATAATCTTAGATAATATTAGTGTTTATAAGGTGGCGATAACCAGATATATTGTAAAGTGATAACTAATTTTACTTTGTTGTCGGCGACGGACAGTTAGTGAAAGACAATAACAAGAACTGTGTTATTATTACTCTAAGATGCATTAAAAATTTGAGTGAATTTCAATAGAGGTTATGTGTTAAAAAAAGTTAGTAAAGATTTTCAGTGATTTTAATAATGAAATAAATAAATAAATGGTGAACATCAGTTAAATACAAAGACTTACATTCAGACCTAAAGACAGGAGATGTATGGATATTAAAGTCAGTGTAAGTTTCACATGTTTAGTACTGTATTCATGTGATCTTTATATTGTGTTAATAATGTGTTAATCTTGTCTTGATATGTAAACCTGATTGTCAGTACAGTACATCACTTCTGCAAGGTGTTTCCAGTTCATCTCAGCCAATTATATCTGCTCACACAGTCAGTCGTGGTTTATATTCTGTCAACAAACTCTTTCCCATCCATTGTATCAACTTTGTCTTTCACCCCCAACTCCACGCCATACACGAACAGAAGGCTTTGACAGATGGACTGCTCACAAACACGTAATATTCCACAACACATAAGGTTAGTCTTAATACGCTGATTGGTGTTTACTTTGAGAGATGTTTCTTATTGACAGATTATGAACAGCACGAAAAAGCTCACCCAACTGGAGTCGCCAATATCTACCATCATCAGTATGTTTACTTATATCCACATTACACAACATCTGTGGCTAATTGACTTTTATAGGTCATGAACATTTGTGATTAGTTGAATGTTCTTGGATTGTGAGATTCTTTAATATACTGTATACAAATGTGATGATTATATATGTATACAGCAGCAAACCCAAGAGTTTGATGAGAGGGGTGGAGAGAGTAGGAAAACCAACAAGGATGTGGCCCCCTCCCTCAGCATCAAGATCCATGGCAACACAGAAACAAAAACTGAAAAATTCCCTTAATTACAAAGTGAATTATTTAATTACTGTATTGTTGTTTTACCCCCACAAGGTGACGGGTGGTAGCACTCATCTGTGTGTGTCTGTGCTCATCTATTTATACTTTATAGTGTATATTTATTGTTAGCCATGACTTACTCCCAAATATCTGATTGTTTATACTTAACTAACAATGTACCTTGAACATATAATCAACGACCTCACCAGCCAGGACTCGAACCCAAGACTTTATGCGGGTGACCAGGGAACACTACCAACCATGCCACAAGGACACTAAAAGCAATCCTAGACTATGTTATATTTCACACAAAGCCTGTTCATCGAGCTGATGGTGCCGTGAACCTCCCATTGGGGATTGCCCGTGCCACTTCTGTGGTGGGAGTAGCAATTTACCGTGTGTTATGTGGACGAAAATGAAGTATATATGGTACCTTGTGTCCTTGTGTTTCATATATATTGTTTTGCAATATGCCTATGCAATAACATTGCGTTAATCATATGCAGTGTTAACACATTTGCAGTTTTGTGGGTAAACGTTTACTTAAATGCTGCGAGCGATTTCACTAGCAAAAACATTTTTTTCCTGCATGAATTTTTCTGCTTTTTTTATTGGAGATACAGAATAGTTTATTTCTGGGGAAAAACAAAAAACTAATGTTTTCCAATCATGGGTCAAACATTAGTTTTTTCAGCTTTTCTGGAGAAATCAACATCCTCCACTAAATAAAACAGCAAAATTTATGCAGGAAAAAATGTTTTTGCTGCTTTTATTTGCACAAAAGAAGCACTAACCTAACCTACCCCCCTAGCAGGGGAGGTAGTGGGAGTATTTTGCGCGCGGTTCCTTTGAACGTGCATATGGTATTATAGTATAAATTATAAAAAAGAAACACTTCCCCAAAAGAGAACACTGTCACTAGCAATTAACAAAAAATATTTTGGTGGAAAAGCAGTGTCTTGCTAGAATCGTTGGCAGGATTAATCTACACGTTAACCTTGGCAGCATTAATCTACACGTTAACCGTTCTGCGTATGTTAACTTCTAGCTGTGACATATCATTCTGAGTATTGTGTATATAAATATCAAACCTTCACAACAGTAGCTCATGTTCACCATACTTCATCATAACAACGAATACCAACAACAAACAGATAGTGCCACTTCCTTCATGTAGAATCACCTCTTATTGTGATTAACTTGGTATCAGGAGGAGAGTCAGTCATTTTAAGGTTCTATACATGGTACCAACAACAGCTTCAATCACGTTTGTGTGGACCTTGAAATATCAAGAATATCATGTGTCACATACATAATTATGTTCTTTATATCATTATTGGATATGTCCTCTTGTACTGAATCCAGTGCACCAGTTGATACTTTGTATATGATGCTCATTTGTTTTAAGGTAAGGATACAATGTCAAGAAGGGAATTCACTGCTCAATACTACGACTGTCAGGCCTCAGGCGCCATTGCCCGATAATCTTACTTATTGTTCTGGGTAAGATAAATATACTGCAGGCCTTGGTAACATTTTGTTATGCTTCTTAAACAAGTATGTAATTAGTTAGCAGATTTTGAGATGTAAGATAATGAAACACTTTACATAACCCTCATTTACTGTACGTTGTAAGAAAAAAGGAAACGATTTGATATTGTCACTACTGGACTGCCTCTATAGATGCTTGTGCCCATCAGGTTGGATTTTCTGTGGGTATTGTGTTATGGTGTACCTCGTCTGTGATGGGGGTAATGCCAGAGTTGGGTCTCGTACACAACAGCTGTATTATGGTACCGTACAAAATTTGACAGATGCTAACAGATGATACAGACATGGAAATTATTAATATGTGCCACTAAAACACATCATCTTAGTCAAATAAAATTCCCAACTTTTAGTTCCAGCTTTGTGATTCCTGCGTTATAATATTATTGTTGTTGTTTACGATATTCTGATCCTCATTCTTTTGATTATCAAGTAGGAATACATTATCTCTGAATTCTTATTTTTGCAATTCAACTGTTGTTGTATCAATGTGTGTGTCAAGTGTTGAATAGCCCTAAGACTGTGGTGGTGTGTTTTAACCAGTTTAACCACGAGTAATAAAGACGAGCTTGAAAGTTTAAGCCAAATGAACACTTAGTTTTCACGTGTGTCAGTCTCCTCTCAGTACAGTATGACCATTGTGTTAAAACTTCCAGAGTTTCACAAAAACTTATTTCATAAGTTTATATGACATATTATTGTAGTTATGTAATTATCTTTCAAGTCTTACTTATTGTTTTATATTATACTCTCATTATGTTTACTTTTTTAATATGCCTCTTATTATTACTTTAATATTTTGACTAATATGAAGGTGCTGTTATATAACTGTGTTAAGATAAGTGATCCCTTAATGGAGGTAATGTACTCCTAACATGTGAAGTCTGTGTAAAAATATCATCAAAATATTTATTTAATTGTAATTAATAACAAGTACTGTAATTACATTGTAAAAGACAATCTTGTTATGTATAGTTGAGGACTGATGGCCCTCATGTGTTCAGTTGTAATGTTACAAAGTTTCCCTTATCTCTGTAAATAAATAAGTACAGAAGTGCTTAGCTGAAACAGAAATTTTGTAACTATGAATAATATTATTCACCAGGAAGAGTTTGTGTATAAATATAATATTTTAAGGTTACTCTATTTTACATAACTTGTCTTAAATAATCATACCGTCTATTATTATACAGTTTTTGTGTATTTTTATGTATTGTCAGCTTTTTACATTACATTGAAAATTTTTATTTGATATTGTAAGTCAATTTGTGCGTTTGTAAATAAACTGTCTTTTGAAGTAATACAGACTGTGTTTTACTACCTTTAGTTTTATTGTATTTATATGAATAATTTATCAAAAGATAGTTTTTGTTTATGTTATATTGTAAAGAGAGGAGGGACAAAGTCTGACCCCTAGGAAGGTAGATAAACATAACTTTCTAAACTTTATTTTACTCACTTTCATGCGAACACAATACTGTACTGTATATAATAGTGAAAAAAATTTAAAACTCATAAGGTAAAAAAACATGAAGTGAATAAAAAAATTGTCAACAAGAGTAGTAGGGGGGAGCCGAGTGTGGAGGAGACCATTTTCTATGGGTCTAAACTATTCCTTGAACCAATCAGAGAGGTCCATTCCCTGGACCATTCAGAGGGATCCAGTCCCTGGACCAATCAGAGAGCTCAGGGTTTCCAGGCATCACAAGCGCAGACATGTGTGGTCGAGAAGGGTTTCCGGGTACCACAGGAACAGGGAACTGTGAAGACTGTAAGGATATCCGGGCATCACAGGTGGGGTCTTGAAGGGTTTTTGGACATCTAATTGGCTCGACGCAGCAGATGTTTTAATTTTTTGTTTGTACTAATACCTGTAGACTTTAATTATCTCAATATTACATGTTAGTTAACATACATTACCTAATGCAAATTATGCTCCATAGTCACTAAAAATGTAACAATGTCTTTTCGTAAGTTACCCACTCGAAGGTAAAAGTTTTCTCTTGTAAGGAGACACCGTCCATTTTCTATAGTACTATCTGAAGGGCCACCATGATAATTATGTGGTGTATGTAAATTTGAATTTAAGTTGTAATAAGAATAGGTAGCTGCAAGATGTACAGTATATACCTGCTTTTAGCTGAAACATTCAAGATCCAGTGTGAGTGTTGTTGAAGGCTTCCACTGAGGTATAGTTTCTGGATCACTTCCAACACTTCACATAGGTCTGATACATTTACCCTTTTCTAGATCATTGTTCTCTTATATTTTCATCTGATACCTGCAGTAGCTTTGTTCATCAATCGTTCACAGACGTAAATAGTATGACCTTCAAACACGATCTACACTTATCCCTTATAGTAAGCTAGTCCGTGTCAATTGGATCTTCCCAATCATCCTATAGATACCTTGAGTTCTCCTTTATGCTATAAGTGCATGCACTTAATATTATATGACCGTACCTTGGTACAATTCGTATAAAACAACTTACAGTAGGTGAATTATCCTTTACCAAAGTTTCCCGTTTTCTACCGTTTTCTGTGACTTTACAAGCGCGGTGGGTTTGAATGTTATGTAGCGTAATATGAATAAAAGAGATATTGAGGATGACAAATGTGCGCAGTACACAACTGTATTTACTTTTAGTAAAATTGTACTGATCACCATCATACATGTTAGTTAACGTAAGAACAGATGATTCATATGTTACATATGGCAATGTACAGTATTTACATACCGTTAATATATTAAGATGCGTGATGTATATTATTTTTGTATGTCACCATTGCACGAGCGGTTTTCAATGAAAGAAAGGAGATACGAAATATGCATGTCTTGTGATATTTAGTTTATTTTTTGCATTGGATGTGAATTATATTGGTTCAATGTATTTTCTATTTTTTTTATCATATAATATGTACTTATACAAAGAATTTCTGAGCTAATATTTTAATTGTAAAAGATGCATTGTTTACTTTACTTTCTTTTACTTTTATCCTCTTCACAACTGATCGGCTCGTTAGCCGCTTGGGAGATCGGTTACGTCTCTGTTACACACTGTTGGCAAGTACTGGGCATGCCCCACTCCTGAATGTATCTGAACCTGCTCCAGTTATAGAGCGGGGTCTGCTAATACTTACTGCTGAGCCACCGAGGCCACCATTTGTAAGAGCGCGCACCACAAGCTGCCACCCTGTAAGGGCTTGGCACTCTTACAACTTACATAATACTCTGACCTGGTAGCGTGACGTGAGAGGAAGGCTCATGGGTACATGTAAATATAGTATCGAGTATTAGGGAAAATACAACGGAGAATACTGTAGGCGAATCATAGACCCACATACAAATACGATGTTTATTAAACACAAAAATGGTTACAGAAAAGACGTTGTATTCACCCAAATCAGGAACTCCTGGTACCATGCCCTCAGGCTCAATTTACTTGCACCACTACTGGGTGTACACACACCAAAACACACAAACTTTTACAGCACCTTAGTACCATTAAAGCCAGTGGCACTTGCCAGTACAACACTCAATTCCCCAGGGGCAATACTCCAGCGGCCGCAATGGGAGTCTCATCACCAAGTGACACCTTCCAGCAAACTCCGATAATTCCGGTGGACTAACACCACCACACCAACAACCCTACCGGGTTACATACTGTACTCATCCACCAATGATGGGGCTGGCAGTTGTTTGGGGGCTTGACGATCCTGGTTCACCACGCTGGCATGGCGTTAGGGGAATACTACCCCTTATGGAGCCCATAGGGGGTAGGAGCCTCTGACGGTCGGGGTTCACGGGGATACCCGATTCTACTGGACCTCAGAAATCTCCCAAGACTAGTGGATGCGTCCTCCACGCTACAGACACGGCCTAGGCTGCGTTAAGGACCTGTGGGTAGGAAGCTGGCGGCTCACTGCTGTGTATAACGAACTCAACGTTTCAAAGGGACATACATCAAGGACGTAAAATACTTCACTCAAAGCACATTAACTTCGTTACTGTAACACTTGCAATCAAACTATTAAGTAGGTCAAATCACTTAAAAATGGCGAATTACAACACGGAGAAGGTGGAATGACCTACATGTGGGTGGGAAGCATGGCGGCTCACTGACGGTTGAGCTGCCCGCCGCCTTCCACCCACGCTAAAGTCACGGATTCCACCTACTCAACCATTTCACTGAATTACGTTACTGTAACACTCTGACGTTTGAAACTGAGACTACGAACTCAGTTTCATTCCCTACTTTTATCTTCACAAACAATGTTCTGACTGAGCTATCAAAAGCAAGAATTAAATTGATCACAGAAGGATGGATGGCAACAGGTCTCAACACGCAGCACCTTGCTACAAACTCGAGGAGCAGATTCAAAAAGGTTCCCTAGAGAATATGAACTAATTCCTCAGTTAACCTCCCTACCACAATTTCACCATGATTATCAGTCTCTGCTAATCATAGGTGAAAAAAAAGGTTTACAGGGTCTCGGTAGCCGAAAGAGTTTACAACTTCAGTCAACAAACACACGATAACTCGATGACGTCATCAAAGAAACAGAGAGAACGGCAAACATTTCCACTGGGAGACTCAGAAGGTTTTGTGGACGTGTAAGCGTAATATGGATCATTAGTTTAACAGCTGTTAGTTTAACAGCTGTCATTACGGTCATGAAACAGTGTTGTTCATTAGTCTGGTCTTGAAAGAGCTCTCACTCGGTGCCGTCACAACACCCCACCTCGGTGTGGATGTGAGATCAGGAAAATGATTGTAATCTTGTTTCATCCATTGTATATCCTACATTTTGGTATTAATTTACTCACCGGCATTTGGGGTGAATACTTAGTGATACTTCTGTGAACGGAGGAAGAGCCATATTATGGGATTAAGAAAAATAAATTACTAAATAAATTCGGTTATAGGACCATGCAGTGTTAATGTGTGTACTATTGTTTTGCTGTAAATATAACAAGTGTTAACTATTGTTATGCCGAGGCATAATTTGGTGTTATAATGTTTTTAAACAAGGTGTTTTGATTGTTTTCTGTCTCATGCAGCAGTTATTTATGCATCTGACGAGACGATACTGTATATAAGTGGCAGTGAGCGGCCTTAAGGAGTCGATCACTTCTGTTCTTAGCGTGAAGAATAAGCCTAGTAGAACAACTGAAGACAATTGTTGTGTAAGTATTGTGGAATTGTTGATTAATATAAAGTGAGAAGACTTTTAAGGAATTGTACACTGGTAGTGTTCTGACTACATATTCGAAATGTGAAGTCCAGCTGTGAAGCCATTACCCTGTTAACAGTGTTGTGAAGAATTACTTTTTATTAAAGAAGATACAGTACACAAGTGTGTTTTTGTGAGCTGGTGGAAATCTACCTGCTTGTTGTTTGTCTGTACACTGATACCGATTGTTGGGAAATTACCGAAGACTGGCGGGACAGCCAGTGGTAATTTGACAACACTTGTGAGATTATGTACTCCTTCTATACATAGGACCCTAGCCGCTGGTAACCAGTGGAGGAAGCTGGGTAAGTGGTAAAAGGAGGGGGGTCGTAACACTATTATAAATTAGTATTTCTCAATCCTGACTCAATTTGCACAGTATAATGAATGGTTCTCGGATGTATTCTCACAATGTAATTATATCAAATGTTATCTTCAACTGGCAGCTAGAGGTAACAAAGGATTGTCTACATGATACTTGGGTCTGTTAACCAAAGCTGTTTTTTCAGAATGTAAGTTTGATTAATGATCCTAGGAGTTGGAGCACTGCTGAAAGAGGGATTATTCAGTTGTGGCCGTGACACGAGCCTGTGTCCAGAGTTGTTGAGATTGACACATTCAATAGTGAGTTTTACCATTGTAATATGTAGTGAGGTGTATTGTACTGTACTGTGTGTAGTACTGAGGACTGAGAGTGACACTGCAAGTAAGTGAATAGTGACAGTTTTTTGTGTGCAGTGTATTTCAAGGTTTGTTAACCAGAAACATTGTGTGATCAGGCTATTTTTGTATTCAAGTAAACAGCAAATGGCAGAAAGTGTAAATGTGCAAGAATTTCTCTGAAATCCAGGTTGTACACCAGCTCTATCAATGTACGAAGAAAGAATTATATGAATTAGTATCTTTATAGGAGATTTCTTTAAGGTCTAGTAATAAGTGACATGCAGAAAGAGTTGGTGGAGAATTAGTTCTTTTTGGGAGTGTTAAAAGAGATTGAGGAAGAAACTGAGGGGTTGGCTAACCATGATGGCAGGATGCAATTGACTGAAAGTTGGCATTGGAATGGTTAAGGTTAGAATTTGAGTATAAGAGAATCCAAGCAGAGGCAGAGAAGGAGAGAATCCAAGCCGAGAAAGTGATGAGACTTACAGAATTAGAGGTAGAGACAAAGATGGTTGTAAGACTTGTAAACAGAGAAAAGGTCATAGAGTTACCAGAGTTTGTTGAAGAGGAAGCAGATGATTTCTTCATCCAATTTGAGAAAAATAGCAAAAATTAACGAATTGGGATGAAAATGATCGGGCTCTTCTGGTTTAGACGCGGCTCATAGGAAAAGTAAGAGGGGTTTATGCTTGTTTAGATATGACAGTCTGTTGATTATGAGGCTGTGAAAGAGGCTGTGTTAAACACGGTTCAGATGAATCCAGAAGTGTAGAGGCAAGATTCAGGGATATCAAGATATTGCAAAATCAGACTTACTTGAAGTTAGGTAGGGAATGTAGAATGAGATTTGATAGGTGGTGCAAGGCAGAAGAGGTGAAACTTTTGAGGATTTGAGACAGCTGATCATGTTAGAAGCAGTTTAAAAATTTGTTATAACCCTGATGTGAAAATATGAAATAAATTAGGGATGAGATGAAGGATTTGGTGTAGGCGGCACAAAGTTAGCGGAGCAGCTAGCAGTGGCATATAAGATGTACAGAAAGGATATCTCACACAAACAGGGTGGAGATAGGCAGTTCAGAACCCAGTAACATGGGAAGGGTCAACAGAACCAAATGTCGCCAGGTACTAAACGGCGCAATCAAATGGTCAGGTAACTTTGGGAACAAGGCAGTCAGTGGTCAGGCAATATTGTGGCTGAGAATTCTCAAGGGCAGTCACAAGGTAGTTTTTATAAATCACAACATGGAAATAATAATGTAGGTCAGCAAGGGAGACTACCAGTGAAAAGCTATAGTAGTAGATCAGTAGTAGGTCATTCATTTTAAATCTCAGTGTAGAACGACTCAAAAGTCAACAGGGTTAACCATATCTTGGGAAAAACTTAGGACTTTTCACAGGTGCCAGACACTGTGAGGTTAATAAGCCTGCTTTGAGGCATTTATAACTGAAGGGAAAATCTCCGTAGAAGGAGGACCCAAGAGGAAAATTACAGTATTAAGAGACACTGGGGCAGATCAGAGTGTAGTCCTCAAGAAATCACTGGAGTGGACGCTGGGGTCTTTTTCAGGTGATGAGGTGAAAGTGAAAGTGTTAGGCCCAAAATTGACCATACCCATACATGTAGTGAACCTTAAGACCGACCTTGTAGTTGGTAAAGTTAAAGTTGGGGTGACGGATGAATTACCGGTTGACTGAGTAGATGTGTTATAGGGTAATGATCTAGCAGGGTACCGTGTGGTTTCGGAACCTAAGATGGTGGAAGATCCTCTAACTTGTGATGGGAATGACACTACTGAGGTATCTATGAGTGACATAAATAATGTAAATGTTGAATGTGATGCAGTGAGAGAGGAAGTCGAAAATTTTTATTTTATTCCTGTGTGCTGTCACTAGGTCTATGGCTAAGAAAGATCCATGTGTGGATGGCATTGATTTAGGCCAGTTGTTCATAGACAGTGACAAGAATGATGAGGTAATAGTGCAAGAGGGAGACAAAAATGGTAAGGTAGAGTTGAAGGTAGATTTTTGTCCAGATTTTATTGTTGACAAAGGTGAATAAATCAACTCACAGCTCAGGGATGACAGTTTAAGAGAAATCTGGAGTGAGGCTGAGAGGAATGGTACGCCTGATGATAACTCTGTGGGATTTTACTGGGAGAGCCCTTGGAGCGCCACCGCTCCTAGGGCCCCTGGGGGCTCTGCCGCCTTTGGAAGGGCCTCTAACGGGAGTCGCCGCCCTGGGAGGGCCTCTAGGGGAGTCGCCGCCCTGGGAGGGCTTTTGGAGGCACTGTTGCCTCTAGGAAAACCCCTGGCGGCACTGCCGCTTTCTGGGAGGGCAACTCCAGGCGCCACTACCCCTGGGAGGGCCGCAAAGACGCTGCGGCCCCTGGGAGGTCTCCTTAGAGTTACCCTGGAGGCATCACCGCCTCTGGAGGGGCCCCTGGTGGTGCCTCAGCCCATGGCAGAGCCCATGGGGAACCGTCCGTCCCTCTGAGGGCTCCTGAAGGCACCGCCACCCCAAGGAACACCCCTGGCGACACAGCCGCCACTGGGAGGGCCCCTGGGACGGCCCCTGGGGGTGACGCTGTTCAAAAGGAGGTCCCATGGGGGCGCCATCGCCACTGGGAGGTCCCCTAGCAGCGTCTTTGTATCTGCGAGGGTCCCTGATGGCACCGCCACCCCTGGGAGGGCCCCTCTGGGCGCCACTGCCCCTGGGCGGGCCGCTGAAACGCTGCGGCACCTGGGAGGTCTCCTGTGGGTACCCCCGCCCCTGAGCGTGACGCTGACCCAAAAGAGGACGCCTGGGGACGCCATCGTCCCTGGTAGGTCCCCTGGGGGCAGTTGTTTTTGCACTATTTAGAACTCTGGGAGATATACCATCAAATAAATACTCCTCCCATCGCATTTCCAGTATCCTCTCATCCTGAACAATGACAAGGAGAATAAATATCCAACAGGAAAACATAAGTTGGGGTGTTGCACTGACTGATTGCTCTGTTCTCCTATTGGCTGTAATTTATTGGAGTTACATTTTAGTCCACCAATCACAGTTAAGTACAGGATTGCTGGACGCATGCAATATGTAAGACACCAAGATCAAGCCCCTGGGGGCTCCGCCGTCCCTGGGAAGGCCTCTGGGAGCGCCGCCGTCCCGTGGAGCGCCTTTCGGGGCGCTGACGCACCTTGGAGCGCCGTTGGGGTCGCTGACACCCCTGTGAGGGCCCTGGAGGAGTCACCGCCCCTACAAGGATCCCTGGGAGCACCACCGCCACTGGGAAAGCCCCTAGGTTCGCAGCCGTGTCTGGGAAGGTCCCTGAAGCCGCCACCGCTCCTGGGAGGGCCTCTGTGGGCGCCACCGCCCGTGGCAGGGCACCCCCACCCATAAGGATAGCCCCTAGGGACGCCACAACTCTTTGAAGTGCCCCTGGGGGCTCCGCCGCTCCTGGTAGGGTCCCTGGGGTCACCGCCATCCCCAAGGAGGGCCCTTGGGTGCGCGGACGCCCTTGGAAGGGCTCCCTAGGTGCTCCGCCGCCACTGGAAGTGACGCCCCCCCTGGGAGAACCCCTGACGGTGCCGTCACACCCGGACGAGCCCTTGGGGGAGCCACCGTCCCTGGGATCACCCCCACCCCTAAAGGGGGCTCCTCGGGGAGCAACAGCCTCTGGCAGGACCCCTGGGGGCTCTGCCGCCCCTGGAGGGACCAATGAGATGGCCCCTGGGACCACCGCCGCCCCTGGGAGAACCCCTGATGGCACTGCCATCCCTGGGATGGAGCCCTTGTCGCCGCCGCTCTTGGGAGGGCCCCTGGAGGCCCTACCTCCCTGGTAAGGTCTCTGGGGTGCGCAACAGCCCCTGGGAAGGCTCCTGTGGGTGTACCGCACCTGAGAGGGTACCTGGGGTCACCGCAACACCCTAAGAGGGGGCCCTGGGGGAGCCACAGTCCCTGTCAAGGGCCCTGGAGGCTCCCCCGCCCCTGGTAGGACCTCTGAGGTCTCCGCCATCCCAAAGGAGGGCCCCTGGGGACGCCGCCACCCTTTAGAGGGCACCAGAGGGGCGCCACCGACCCTGTGACGTCCCCTAGTGGTCTCTCTGCATCTTTGAGCGCTCCACCACCCTTGGGAGGGTTACTTGGGCGCGCCGCCGCCACTGGGAGGGCCTCTGGGAAAACCCCTGGTGGTGCTGCCTTACCTGGAGAGGGCCCCTGGCGGCGCCACAACCCCTGGCAGGGCCCCTGGGGTTACACCGGCCCTGGGAGGCCCCTGTGGTCACCGCTGCTTCTAGGAGGGCCGCAGGGGGCACCGCCGCCACTGGGAGGAGCTTTTGAGGTGTGGCCCTCCTTGGCAGGGTCTCTAGGAGACCCGCCGCTCCTTGGGAGAATTCCTGCGGCGCCGCAACGCCTAGGAGGGCCCCTGGTGGCGCCACATTCCCTGAGAGGGACCTTGGGGACGCCGCCGTCCCTGGGAGGGCGCCTGGGAGCGCCGGCGCCTCTGTCAAGGCTCCTGGAGCCGCCACCGCCCTTGGAAGGGCCTTTGGGGGCGCCGCCGCCCATGGGAAGGCCCCTAGAGGCATCGCGGCACTTGGGAGCTCCCCGTGGGGCACTGTCACCCCTAAGAAGAGCCCCAGGGGACGCAGCGGTCACTGGGAAGGCCGCTGCGCGCTTCGTCGCCTTCCTTGGAGGACTCCATGGGGCGCCACCGCCCCTAGGAGGGCCCTTGAGGGGCACTGCAGCCCCTGGGAGGGCCCCTAGGGCGTCGCCGCCCCTGAGAGGTCCTTTGGGGTCACCGCCGCCCTTGTGAAGGCTCCTGGGGCACCACCGCCCCTTGGAGGGCCCGTGGATGGCGCCGCTGCCGCTATGGAGAGCCCCTGGAGGCGCCGTCGCCCCTGAGAGGGCCCTTGGGGCGCAACTGTCTCTGGCTGGGCCCTGGGGTCACTCCCACCCCTAAGGAAAGCCCTTGGGGGCGTCGCCGCCTTGGGAGGGCCCCTAAGGGTGCCGCCACCCCTTGGTGGGTGCCTTTGAGCACCGCCGCCTCTGGGAGGTCCCCTTGGAGAGCCCACCGCCTCTGGGAGGGGCCCTGGAGGCGCCACTGCCCGTGGAAGGGCCCCTGGGGGTGCAAGAGCCTATGGCAGGGCCCCTCGGGGAGCTTCTGCCCCTAACGAGGGCCACTGGAGGCGCCGTCGCCACTGGGAGGTCCCCTGGGGGCAGTTGTTTTTGCACTATTTAGAACTCTGGGAGATATACCATCAAATAAATACTCCTCCCATCGCATTTCCAGTATCCTCTCATCCTGAACAATGACAAGGAGAATAAATATCCAACAGGAAAACATAAGTTGGGGTGTTGCACTGACTGATTGCTCTGCTCTCCTATTGGCTGTAATTTGGTGAATATACATTTTAGTCCACCAATCACAGTTAAGTAAGGGATTGCTGGAAGTATGTCTTTAATACAGAGAGATTAAGATCCGAGTGTAGGAAACTCCAGGGAGCGAGAGTACGGGTTTACAGATTTGCTCTCGAGTCAGAGCCCTGCCGTGGATTCAGAGTGTGACCGACCAGCACTATTTTGTTTGACTACCAACCAGTGAACTCCCCTTGACTGTTTGTGTTAATAGCTCTTGTATGCATTATTATGGATGGATTATCGTTAAGATAACTGTCCCAGGTCGATTGTTGAGACCAGAAATATTACTAGCACCAGCAGTAGAGTTCGTTATGTCTGTGAATGAATCAACTGTTCTTACAGTTGATATGTGATGATGGATCGTATGTGTTTCCTTGTAATAGTATGTTGCTCTAAGTAATACCACCAGTCTGGGCTATTATTGGTCGGTTTGTTTTGTCCTAATGTTACAGTAACGAAATCAGTGATTTAATCTTTTATTTGTTGTTTTGAATAATGGTTCAAATTGTCATAATATTCACATTTTATTTTAATAAATATCGATTCAGTAGAATGTGTGTATCACCGCTCATTCCTTTTAACAATAGACATCTCTGAAAATACCATAATAATATACTCATGTGCCTAACCTCTCGTGTCTACCACACTACCACTGGCAGTGAGTTACATTGTATTGTAGAAATTATATTCTAAACAAAGCCTGGGTGGTGGCAGCGTCTAGATGTAAGTAAAATAATTATACGAATGTGTAAAATGCAAAAGAATGTGGTTTTCCCAGGTTACTCCACAAAATAGAATATAGCAAAGTAAAGATGAGACTAAAAAGAAGCAAGAGGAAATAAACAAATAAGTAAGAATATTGAAAGAAATACAATAAAATAAAAGTAAATAAAAATATAACTAAGGTGGTTATAGATATAGAAATAAAGTGGCAATCTTGTCCTCTTACATAATAATTCAACATAGTAATGTAAATAAAGTACTGAAGCTTGTCTTCACAATTTGTGACTGTTAAAACTGTAAGGAAAATATTGTGTACGGGAGGTGTAAAACAGCTTCAACCAGATGCCCAGAATAAACCGGTTATATCTGACAGGGCGTAACAACGGTTATGTTTCCTCCTTACAGTATACAGTATCTGTAGGTCCACACTTGCTCTGACAGGAAGCCAGGCCTATGGAACCGATTTCCACTTTACATACCAACATTATTTTCAACCGTGAGGACTGTGAAGAAAAACGTTGTATTAAACACATTTTATTGTTTTTCACATAAAAGTATTTTAACATCCTAGATAAAAGGAGTCTTCTGTACATATTTACAGCAAAAGTTGTAAAGTAATATTGTCTATTAATTATCAATTTGCTATAAAGCCAATTTAAAAATCAGTATTCCATATCTACAATGTTTATGATATCATACAGCCAAGTGACAGAACCCCACCACGTACTTACTTCAACAACCTTTGACAAAAACAAGGTAAAGAAAGAAAAATATTGTTTTTAAACCAAGTTAATCCTGAATATAGTTATACTACAACTACTATTTAAAAATATTATAACCCTAACCAACAGGTGAGTTACTTATAAACCCCAGAACAACATTATATTTACTGCACGCTGCTGATGTCATCAACCCAACCTCTCGGTCATGACGACAATTGTAGGTTGAGCCACAACACTCATCGTCTCATTGTCCGAGGCGGTAGAGGTGATGGTCAACCTTGTCAGGAGCACCATAGTTGCTGCTTTGAGACTGCATTTTTTTATTTGGGAAATCATCGTGTATATATATATATATCTTTTCGTGCGTCTCTGTCATAGATCAACAGTGATATTACAAGCCTAATGAATGAAAATAAAATGTTTGGAGTGTCTACTTCATAAAATATTTCCTCAATATTTGGTCACCGGAGCACTAGCATCATTGGCTAATTGCAGACTGTCTGGACGCACCAGCTAGCCAATCATCGAGTGATTCAAATAACCAATCATTAATTGGTTGTCTGTGACTGCTTGAACTCAGTAGCCAGCTAGTCGTCGACCGAATCCTAGTCTAGCGGGCACTCGTTCCAGAATTGGTCGGATAAAAAAATTTACTCATTAACACATAGAAATTTGCTTTACACGTAAAGTGGCCTGGTGGGCCCTTACACAACAGTGAGGCCACGTTCTGGGCTGGTCTGGCACGAGCGGTGAGGAGCTTGGTGCCAACAGGGGGCCAGAACGGAGGTGCTATGGACAAACTATAGATGCTACACAGACAAAGGAGAAGCCCCGTACACACAAAGGATTCTACCCTCACAACAGCGGCACAAACAAGAGAAACATCACACACATCAGTGGCACCACACACACAACAGAGGAACCACACACACAAATGAAGCACCACACACACAACAGAGGAACCACACACACATAAATGAAGCACCACACACACAAAGGCACCACACACACAACAGAGGAACCACACACACAAATGAAGCACCACACACACATAAATGAAGCACACACACACACAATAGAGGCACACACACAATAAAGGCACCACACACAACACAAATGAAGCACCACACACACATGCACCACACACAACAGAGGAACCACACACACAAATGAAGCACACACACATATGAAGCACCACACACACACACAGGAGGCACCACACACAATAAAGGCACCACCACACACACAAATGAAGCACCACACACACATAAATGAAGCACCACACACACAAACAGAGGAACCACACACACACAATAGAGGCACCACACACACAAAGGCACCACACACACAAATGAAGCACCACACACAGCACCACACACACAGCACACACACAACAGAGGCACCACACACACACACACACAGAGGCACCACACACACAACAGAGGTACCACACACACAAATGAAGCACCACACACACATAAATGAACACACACACACAACTGATGCACCACACACACAGGCACCACACACACAAATGAAGCACACACACACACAAATGAAGCACCACACACACATCAGTGGCACCACACACACAAATGGCACCACACACACACAAGAGGCACCACACACACACAAAGGCACCACACACACAAATGAAGCACCACACACACACAACACACACACACACAACAGAGGCACACACACACAATAGAGGCACCACACACACACCACACACACACACAACACAGAGGCACCACACACATAAATGAAGCACACACACAACAGAGACACGACACACACACAGATGAGCACACACACAACAGAGGCACCACACACAATAAAGGCAGCACCACACACACATAAATGAAGCACACACACACAACAGGCACACACACAATAAAGGCACCACACACACAAATGAAGCACCACACACACATAAATGAAGCACACACAACAGAGGCACCACACACACACCACACACACCACCACACACACATAAATGAAGCACACACACACAACAGAGGCAACACACACACAGACAACAGATGCACAACCACACACACAACAGAGGTACACACAAATGAAGACACACACACAAATGAAGCACACACACACAAATGAGCCACACACACAACACACACACACAAATGAAGGCACACACACATAAATGAAGCACACACACACAACAGAGGCACACACACACAGAGGCCACACATAAATGAAGCACACACACACACACACACATGAGCACACACACACACAACAGAGGCACACACAACAGAGGTACCACACACACAAATGAAGCACACACACATAAATGAAGCACACACACACAACAGAGGCACCAATAACACACACACAATAGGCACCACACACACATAAATGAAGCACACACACACAACAGAGGCACCACACACACAAATGAAGCACACACACACATAAATGCACACACACACAACAGAGGCACCACACACACAACAGAGGTACACACACACATAAATGAAGCACACACACACACAACAGACACACACACACACACACACAACAGAGGCACACACACAACACACACACACAAATGAAGCACACACACATAAATGAAGCACACACACACAACAGAGGCACCACATACACACACACACACAAATGAAGCACCACACACACATAAATGAAGCACACACACACAACAGAGGCACACACACACACAACAGAGGTACACACACACAAATGAAGCACACACACACATAAATGAAGCACACACACAACAGAGGCACACACACAACAGAGTACCACACACACAAATGAAGCACCACACACACATAAATGAAGCACACACACACAACAGAGGTACCACACACACAACAGAGGCACACACACAAATGAAGCACCACACACACATAAATGAAGCACACACACACACAACAGAGGAACCACACACACAAATGAAGCACCACACACACACACACACACACAACAGAGGCACCACACACACACACAAATGAAGCACCACACACACATAAATGAAGCACACACACACAACAGAGACACGACACACACAATAGAGGCGCCACACACACAACTTATGCACCACACACACAAAAGATGCGCCACACACACAATAGATGAGCCACACACACAATAGAGGCGCTACACAAAATAGAGGCACCACACACACAATAGAGGCGCTACACAAACACACACACACACAAATCAGAGGCCACACAGACACCCGCACCATAACAAAACAGTACCAGCGAGAGTAACCACAGGCGTCTGGCATTATCCTCCACCCAGCTGCCAATGCAACTGAGCAACGCCAGACGAATGTTAGACCGATCTTAATTTTAAAGGGAAGGTATAAAATTCTCTCCTCACTGCTTACCTGAGACCAGCCACTGATTAGCGCAAACAGGTAAAATATACAGGTGTAGTAGAATGTGATGAGATAGCAGTAGTGGTTATATCTTCCGCAACAAAAACGCTTCATAAATCTCTACTTAATCGGAAAAACAACAACCGTTCTGTATAAAATACAGCCTGTATATATATACATTAAAAACAACTCAATAAGAGTATTACCATTTATTATTAGACTCGAGCCACAAGACGACACCTAGTTCATTTCTGCTGAGGCCTGTCGGTCGGCGGATACTTTATAGGGGCATTGTCGTGGTCGTGACGATATTAAGCGCATGTTTCGGCTTTAACTATACATTATTTTCTGAGTTTCGACGGTCTATACTCTGATTTTCATGTTGTATTTGTATTATACATTGCTTAAGTAGTTGTATGTGTATATTATACACTGCTTTCACATTGCATATTAATATTTTGGTTTGAAAACTATATATCTAAATATTGGTTTTTCAAGCCAAATTCTTATACATTGGTTTCAGTTATATAAAGCTATATATTGGTTTCGAAGTTGTATATACAATGTTTAATGTTACAACCAGAGCTGGGGAATGAGAATAGTAGGGGGCACTGTATGTGAGCAACACACTCAACACAAGGCCAACGCACTCTTCCTCACAACTGTGAAAAATATGCAAAACTAGAAAAATAACTAGTGATAAAGCAACGTACAAGAGCCATCGACCATGGGATGCAGCCACAGAACACACCCACAGAAAACAACCGTGGAATGCAGAAGCACCTGGATTGAGATGTGTACAACAGCAGCGAGGAAAAGTGTTTAATTTATTTTATATAATCAAATGTAAACAAAATTTTCCAGTGTACACAAGTGAGCAAACTCTTGTAGTGAAGCAAAACACTTCCTAAGTACTGAGAACTGCACTGAGCGCAGGTGAGAAGGAAAGTTTCAAGCTTATCGTCTCATGCATGCGAGAGACCTAATCAGCTCGTTATCAAGTCGCTTACAGGCAGAAAATGTTAGGAGTCCTTTCGAACAATGAACGAATACAGTAGATGATTTTTGGATGTGTTTCTGTATATATTCAAGAAAGAAAATGTTTTCATTTTCATTTTTGCAAAAGATTAAAATTCTGTTTATTAAAATAATACTCTTCAATTTACAAGTTACCTTCAGTACTAGTGAAACTGTAACATATACTGGCCTTAAATGGTGTGTGTGTATGTGTGTGTGTGTGTGTGTGTGTGTGTGTGTGTGTGTGTGTGTGTGTGTGTGTGTGTGTGTGTGTGTGCACATCACACATTTATTTATACACGGACAAAGACACAACCATCTTCCCAACTTTTGGTGAATACATCACGGAAAGTCGAACCATCCGATGCCACCCATCACTGAACTGAACAACTGGCAGCCAAATGATCCTTGTAAATAAGTAGCCAGTTACACTATTTACTGTGTCGGGTAATAGCCGATAGCAACCACGGCTGGAGAATGAGAACAGTAGAGGGCACTGTATGTGAGCAACACACTCAACACGACTGTGAAAATTATGCAAAACTAGAAAATTAGTGATAAAGCAATGTTTTTATATGCTTATCTGAGTTCCATAATTATAAACCCCTTCCTTATAAATAACCTATACAGTATTATGTTAAGTTCATTTTAACATGTACCACAAACTTGGCTCCACAGCTTATCCATCAGTCTCACGCTACCAAGTATTCAGCTCTTGACACGATAACCAAACACGCACAATTATGAGGTAACTATTGTATACCACGAGGCCGAGTGTGGTGTGATGACATAGTCTTTTTTTCCCAGCTGAGAAAAGATACCTCGCCCCCTCAAAAGTTTCAGGCTGTTGCAAACCTGTCTGATTTTGTCCTGTAGTAATGATGTATTTCTAAATGAGTTTATTCATAATCGTTGGAATGACCGCTTCTGACGGGAAAGATATTTAGCTAAATTATATAAAGATGTATACAGTACATTCATTATTTCAAACATTAGCACGTAGGAAGTTTATCAGAAGTATTATACATGAATTAACTGTTAAACTCTGGTAGCAAATTCACGCTTTCGGAGGACGCATTTAATATACAGGTATACTTATTTTTACCCACAATAAGGCATACTAAGACAAATAACGTAACAGTAATACCACATTATGTAAAAACAAAATTTTTAAAGATCAGAATCATCTTGAAATATTACACGACCGTCAACAGAGGCGTGAAATATGACTACGAACAACTTTATATTTTCCCCGCCCCTGCTAACGGTAGTGTAGTATTTCAATGTGATTCTGATCTTTAAAAATTTTGTTTTTACATAATGTAGTATTACTGCGTTATGTTAATAAATAAATGAACAAATTTATTAACTCTTGAGGGGGCGGGGCATCTTTTTACAGCTAAAAACTCCTAACAATATCCTTTTATATTGCGTTCTGAAGCAAACTAACAACTATATAGCTGTCAACTTTATCAACCCAAAACCGTACCTGAATGGTCAACCAGTGTTATAAATCATATTTTATCACCCCCTTGTCATTGTAAATATGCAATTCATATTGCACTTCTAGTTACTTAAATATAGGAATACAATAGTTCACACGAAATACAGGACATCTGTAAATTTAAGGTGAGGCAATATTTTAATGTTACTAGGAACACATCAGTACTTGGCGTGTGTACCATTACTTTGTGCACCATTACCTTCTATTACTTGTTGGAGCCTTCTCGGCATTGATTAAACAAAGTGGTGTGTAATATCTGCTTGTCTCTATGTTGAATTGCACTTATTTTGTGCATCACATCCATCCCAAGTCCTCAATAGGGTTTAGGTCTAGTGATCTGGGCGACCGACCAGACAAGGAGTGCAATATTAGGACGTGCAACAATCCTCGCAAAGTCCGAATGTTTCTGGTAGCGTTGTGTTAATGTAGGTTCAATGGCTGGGATGTGCGAGTGAACACTTGGTGAATTCAGTGTCTACACTACCGCACTAACGTTCATGATGTGGATTGCAGTTGCAACTCTTCCTTCATGTTAGGTCTACTGCGTGTAGGCCTAGCTTGTGTGCATTCTGTAATTCTTTGTTATTCATAGTGTTGTTGAGAGAGTGGCCTGAACGGTCTCTTGCCATCAAGGTGTGAAGGAATACACACTTGTGAGAAGTTTTTGTGCTTATCTCTCTGTTATCTTCACTGAACCCACACCACTCCTATACAACAAATCATAGCTCCTCGCGGTCTCATGCCTCCGAGTTACTCTTCCTGTACTAGGTGTGTTGCGTTCACGAGATTATTTGCTTCACTGTGGCTTCCATATAAAAGGATCAGTTTCGATATACACGAGAATACAACTCGATGCTGACAATGGTTAATGCTTCATGAGCTGATATGAGGGAAAAACGTCTACGTTTGGTTGGCTCATAGGTGGACATGTCATTGAATTGCATATTATTTTCAGTTTCTTCGATGTATAGTTATTATTAAGTACATGTGTCGGTTATCCTCATCTGGGAAATTAAATGGCCTCGAATATTTTGAACCATCATCCGGTGAACAACTCAGAGCTTCGATTTTGTCAGGTATAACCAACCGACAATATGTAGTCAAGGTTAGGCTTTCATTTTATCCCAGAGAGTTTAAATAATCATCAGACAAAACTGGGAAGATACTTGTGTCGTTGACTGCATAGTCAGAAGCAGTAATTGCCCCCATCCCCTCACAGCCGGATCCACAACCAGTGAAGGCCGATATTGATACAATGCAACATCGCCAGCCACGATAGTTCCAAAACTACCCAGCAACGTTTAAGCAGGAGATGGGGGAGGGAGAAGGGTTTGTCGGATCGCCAGGCCTTCACTTGCCGTGGATCCGGCTACTGGGGGGGGTGGGGGGGGGGCAATTAATGCTTCTGAATGTACCTGTATATAATTAATGTTTTCCATTTGATCTTAATAAATATGTACTGCATTACTTATTCCCACATATATGTGTAGTACACTTGTTGCTCTATCACTAAAGACAGTGAACAGCTCGTAAAAGATGACCTAAGTAGCTGTGAATGGGTTTAACCAGTGCTAGTCTTCCTTGATGAAGTAGTCTTAGATTGTTTATCCCTCACAATATAATACATGGTGTTAAGACTGACAGACACTCTCACACAGATGTTATCTCTCGTCAAGGCGCACACTCTCCCCACCACAGTCCCATAACACAATAATTAATATACTTGAACAGAAAAACCTCACTAAGATACAATCTCTGTAAGGCGCAATGTTTTAGATTTGGGGATGTGACTTCTGAATGAAGTATGGGACACGACTGTACTGTGGAGTTGTGAGCCACAGGAAGAGAGAGAGAGAGAGAGAGAGACTCCTAAAATCTCCAAAGAATCAACACGATAAGAGATATAGGCAGCCCTTGTGTCATGCTGTGTTGTCTCATCATCTCTAGGCCTACAACTTCTGGTGAGTACAGTACAATATATTTCTAATTAATGTATCTACATATGTGGCTAGATGAATAGATCCTAATTGATAATCTACATTCATATGTCAACTCTCAAAACCTGAGCTTGAAAGACTTTACAGTAATAAAAAATGATTTTTATAAGTCTACGTCAATATTTGGAACCTACTTTGGTCCCTCAGCATAAATACACCTCACCTAGCCACAACACCTGACACCTTCTCTTGTGCTCAGGACAGATTTGACTGTACACTGTATTAAATATTGTCATCATTATATTAAAGTGATTTTGAAGGATGGAACAATGGATACAGTTCACGAGCATTGGTACGTAATGATATACACCGGCATACAAACCTGACCTAACCATGCCATATACTGTACAGTATTGGGTCATAAAAGAATGCCGAGTTTAATACAAAATCATTTCAAATCTGGACAATCTTTTTTATGACCCCTGTGATTCCAAATATTTATCAATGAGTCCCTTTTTATCTCAAGTAATCCTTACAAATACATTTTCTTTTACTTTTTTAAACTGAATAGTGTAGTACATTTATATTATTATTATTTTTATATATACAGACACATATTCTTTAAATAGTTGTGATTAAAGATTCCCTTTTAATTGAGTGTATGAGGAACACTTCTCTACACCACCACGGAGTCATACATGAAGCGTAGTTTTGTTACCAACATTTGTTTGTCTCTCGAGGAGTTGGTCTGATTCTTTGTTTCATGAACGTCTCTCTCGTCCTTTGGTCTCTTACCTCGCCTTTGTTTTTTGTTTTTGTTTTAATATATGTTACATCTCTCTCTCTCTCTCTCTCTCTCTCTCTCTCTCTCTCTCTTCTGTTGTTCTCCTTGATATGGTAATTTTAATGGTGTTTACTTTCTCTCTTTAATTCTCTTAATATCTTATTCTCTCGGTGTTTTAGTCGATATCTCCTTTTTTTCTTTATCTCTTTTACTCCCAATCTTTAATCAATTATCACACTTACACTCTTTATTATATCTTTTACTCTCTCTCTCACGTCCACCAAATTCCCTCCCTTAGCATCAACTTGCCAGGGAGCAACAGGTCCTTCCCTCTCAGGATGGCTTCAAGGCTGTGACGTTCCTGTTGTGGCCGTCACTGTGGGTAGGTGCTGAGGGCGGTCCTAAGCGAGGAGGTGCCTGAAGGAAAGGAGGAGAGCCACCATGGACACGAGGGAGGTGTGCACGACGGCAGACGACCCAGCATTCTCACACACCCGGCTCCCGGGGGCGTACTTGACACACTTGAACTGTAAACATAAACAGGTGGTCAGAGCCACATATAAGATGATAAAGGCAGTAACAACTTTCATTATTGCTAGTATTTGTATCTTACTACAACTATTATATTAGCAAACGTAATATAAATAATATTAATAATAATATTAATAATAAATATTATATTGATAGTAATTTCATGATAATTATCAACATGATATTTATATTAATAATTACTGGATCATTTTCTCTCAGATAAAATAGCTACTACTTAAAACACAAAAATTTGGGGAAAATCTAGAGAATGAAAGTATAAAAAATGAGTTGGTGAGGTGTCAGAGATGGTACTTTTTATAAATACGAAATTTTGACTTTTCAATGGAGTGCTTAATTCACTTTATATCCATGAAAAAATACAAACACAAATTTCCATATATACATTTAAAAAATTACATTGTTCTTTGTATCACAGTAAAGTCATAATTCATAAACTCAAAAGATTTTGTTTAATTAAATAGCTATGCAATACAACCTGACTCATAATTAATGCACAGTAAACGATAACAACAACATGGAAGACGACAACATACTGAACAAGTTATAATGGAAAGATTACGTAACATTTATCATACTGTTAATTATCATTCTTCTTCTCTGGGTTAGTTGGCTCGTGTGTTACTAGCGAGGCGAAGCGGTTATCGGGTCTTGTGATAACTAACAGGAGACAATTTACAACATACAAAAAAAAAGAGTCTTGGATCAACCAATAAGTTAGTGTGGCCGCTTCTGTTCGCCGTGCAGTACATGCAGAAGTTAGCTTCCTGTTTAACCCAGCATGCAGCAGTTAAGGTTTCATCTAGTTTATTGATCAGCATGACTTAAATACCATGCGAATGTTTATCTTTTTAATGCTGTGAGTGTCTGTGTGTGTTATCAGCGCTTGTTAAAAGTAAATAATCCACTCTAATCCGAGTCCATCAAAGTTCATACAGCTACAAGTTGCACGCTGAGTGCAAGTCTCACTCCATGGCACCACAACAAGTCTTCACTCACTCACTCCCTACACTCTTGACACGGACACTTCGACTTTATGTACAGTCCCGCCACTGACAAGACGCGGGGTATGAATTTTAACAACACTCTCAAGTCAGTTTGGCGGCGGGGGAAAGGGGGAGGGGGGGGAGGAGGAGGAGGAGGAGGAGGAGGATAATTTTGGACGTATGTAGAAAACATGTGTTTGAGGCAGGAGGGACGGTAACAGATTATGTCTTAGGGAAGCAGGAGAGCAGACAGCAGACAGCAGACAGCAGACAGCATCATCATCACCAGCAGCACCACCACCACCACATGTAGCAGTAGCAGTAAGGGGAGGAAGGGGAAGGAGAAGAAGGAGGGAGGGGGCACTCACAGTTTACCTCGGAGGTCCTTGTACCAGAAAGCCAGAAGGTGTCCTGCACAAGGTAGTGTTTGAGGAGGGAAGCTGAAGAACACGCTAATTTAGTTATGTATTCCTTTAGTCGTCTTCTGTACGATGCAGCTCTTCTTCTTGTCATCATTATCATCATTATCAAAAGTCATTGTCAACTCATTATCATAATCACCGTTCTCCTGGTCAGCATTAAACCTTCATCATCCACTATCATTTTAGTTATCATCCTCAATTTCATCATTATCCACTACCTTCATCACTGTAGTCATCATTGAGATCAGTATCATTACTCATCAGTCTTGTCATTATTCTAATCCCATCATCATCCTTATCATGGTTATTATCATCATCATATTGTAGTTATGATCATTATCCTCATCATAATTATCATCATCATCATCCCCAGCACTGTAGCCATCGTCAGCAGCACTGTAGTCGTCATACTCAGCACCGTAGTCGTCATTATTATGAGAACCGTAGTCATCATCAGCATTAATCATCATCACCATACTAGCCATCACCCTTAACACTGTAGTCATCATCATCCTCAACACTGTAGTTAACATCATCATCACTGTAATCATCATGATCATACTGGCCATCATCCTTAGCACTGTAGTCATCACCATCCTCAGCACTGTAGTCATCATCATTATCAGCACCGTAGTCATCAACAACACTGTAATCCTCATCATCATCATACTGGTCATTATCCTCACCATAGAAGAAGCACAAGTAAGCGACTGTTCACATTTCTCGCCTCACTGGTTGAAACACTAATATGTAACTATGTAACGTGAGCAGCTCCCCTTATGTTCCTCAGTAATTAGCAGGGTAGTGCAACGACGCGAACAGTAGCGGCAGTAGCATTGAACACGTTTGACTAGACGGACAAACAAGACAGTCATACGCCACAACCCAGACATGGTCTTCTGTCACTGCCCTGCGTCAGTAACACCAACAACATTCTCTTTTGTTTTGTCTTGGGCATAAAATGTGTTTGTTTTTGTGCATAAATCACAGAGAGCATTTCTTTGTTATTGTCTTTGTTCAGGAAGTAGACGAAGTTCCTGTCTTTGTATTTCCACATAACAGAGTTCCTCTGTTACTGCTTTACTTCGAAACAGACAAGTTTCTCTAGTTTAATTTTTCCATACAATACAAACAACTTCCTTCTGTTCTTGTTTTGTTCACAAAAAATTAAGTCATTCTTTCTCTGTGACATCATCATTAACACGTGAAATACACATACAAAAATTAAGCAAAGTATTACATGCTCCTGACGCTCAAGATCTCATCTCTTGGAAAGAAGAAATCTCTTTAAACAATAGGATTCAGGTATACACTCCAGACATCAACAATCAAGTTATTCACTTAACACTCAGGGAGCTAACACAGTCGTACATCATAACACAATCCAAGTGGAAATCACAAGTAGAATTATGTTTTCGAAAACTGGAGAGGGAAACCCTGAAGCACTCCTAGGATAATCTGCCTCCCTGTGTTCTTTTAGTTTATTCTGGGCTTCAACTGGCATCTCTCTAGACACCTCTGGACTGCTGAAGTCACCCCCCACACCTTCATCTTCACTCTCAACCTCAAGTTCTGAATAATCTGTCACGTTTTCCCTGTCAACATGAAGTGGTTGATACTCGAGTTTTGTAAAGTTATCCAATAATTCTGAGATACTTCCAGGTCTCTCTTGATATATCGTCTTAGGACCGTCTTCCGTGTCCCCAGTTGGTGGTGTGGTAGTGTCGCCCTGAGTAACGGAGCTCGTAACTACGGAAGATGAAGTCTGTTTTGGATATCCACTCTGGGTGTGGCTGGTAGGGTGGGTTTTAATTCTGGATTCTGTGGATTTCAGAACAGGGGTTGGTAGGACGGTAGGTGTGGAGTCATAGACAGTAGCTTCGATTGGTGTGGAGTCTGGAAGACTTGTTCGTTCATCATCACCAGGAGTGTGACCTACTTGGCGATCCATCCAGGTGTCGTCAGCTGAACTTGAAAAATTAACGACTTCAGCATGAGAGTCAGTATTGCCTTTAGGAGTGGAGTCCTCAAGTGTGGTCACTCCTGCTAACTGGTGGTTGGAGTACAGGCGAGGCGTGACAGTCGTTGAGGACCACCTGAGGTCTTCCTGGGATACTTCGTTATCTTCTTCACCTTCGACTTCTGCGTCTTTGTTTAAGGTTTGTACAACGGCCTCTGAAGGTAATCCACTGGTTGTCTTTTGTTCAGTGTTTTTCACATCATTCATCGGATTTTTGGCACCAGTAACACTTGAGGTCAACGTGTTTTGTTGTTCCACTTGTGATGTTTGGTCACCTTCTTCAGAACTTATAATATTACTAGTTGATCTCACAGAGCCACGAGTCTCAGCGGTATTCTTTGTACCTTTAGTATCAGTAGAGCTTGAAGGGAAATACTCATTTGTTAATATATCCTTCTCTAGTCTGGCAATATCACTGATGTCGTGTACATCATCGAGGTCAACAGAGTCGAGGCTGATCATGGGAATAAAGTCGGACTCGAGGATCTCCAGAACTACCGGAGCGAAGTTGGTTGACGACCTCTCAGCCTCCTGTTCCTTTCTCACCCGAATGACGTAAGGGACGGGAGTGGGGGCGGGGAACACTGCCTCCTCCACCTCCTCTTGAAGACGATTTCGGAACCACAGATAGAAGACTTCTGCGGGAGACGCGGTAAAGACGGATTCACTGCCGCCATCTCCTCCCGTATCATACGTTTCGATATTTCTTCCTTCCGTTGGACTTTGTTTATCAGGCTTGTCGGGTTGTTTTCTATATTTACGATCACTCTCGTCTTTGTTTACATTATTATTGTCATTATCGCTGTAAGCATCATCGTCTTCTGACTTACGATCATACTCCAGCACGTCATAGTGGTAATCCTCCGCGTCATAATGGTCTTCATCTTCATTGTGTCCCGGCGTTATTACTCCTTGAATAACGTCGTATTTATTGGGAATTCTAGAAGTCGTAGTTTCAACATAATCATACTCGAGGCTGCCAGAAGTACCATATATCCCTGTTGTAGTATCTGTTTCATAATACTCGTACGTTTCCATGGGCACAGAAGACTCATCATATTCACCTTCTTGTGCAAGATTGGCAGACTCATCGTGTGTCGTTCTTCCAGTCGTCGAAATAGGCAAATTTGTATTTCTAGAGCCAATGTTGTCGTAATGGCTGGAATAGTAGTCATAAAGATCGTCTTCCTCGTCAACCTCGTGCACATTAACACTGTTATGGTTTGTTACTTGGTCTATGTCTGTCGTTTCCGCCACTGTATCGCCATCTTCACTCCTCCGGGGTTGTGTGTAACTCACAGTTTGTTGTTCTCTCGAGACTTGGACACTTGGTCCTGTCCGACTTGTTGATGATGGTCTGGTAATACCTGTAAAGTCCTCAGACACGTTATATACAGATGTTGTCGTGCTGGTGGTTGTAGACTTAAGGACTGGTTTTATACTATCAGGTTTCACTTCATGTTTCCCCAAAACGGGCTGCATTGTACTCATTGGTTCTGTGACATCTTCACTTGATTTAGGTCTTGTTGGAACATCTGTTGTATAAGTAAGTGGAGTGGTTGTCTCCGTTACTTCTGGGAGAGATGAGAGTGTATATATAAGTTGCACTTCCTCTGTGCCAGTTTCATGATTAGGAGTTCGACCTGTGTTAAATTCTCTGTTTACATTTTTTGTTGCAACAGGCTCTTGCCTGTCTTCTGGTGATGAAGAGATTGGAAGACTTATTTTGTGAAGGGACGGTGAAGGAGGGGTACGAGGCAAAAGGTGTTGGGTGTAATCAGTGGGTAGCGTCGTTGTGTCCAGGGCACTGGGGGCTGAACTTATCCAATCCATCCCTTCACTGCCTCCTAACCTAGCATCTGTGGTCGTCCGTTCTTCATGTAAGATGGTCGGGGGTTTGAAATGTTCAGATTTAATCGTCGTTTCATTTTCAGCACCACGGTTTATTCCCGCAACTCTGTGAATTTGCCAGTCACTTGAACCACTCATGTTGGTCTGCGGAGGATCTGAGTTCTGCTGAAAAGAGGGTTGTGATCTGCTGGGGTGAGGACCATCCGTGGTGGTTGGTCTCGTTCTCCCAACAATCAGGGGTGGTTGGCTGGTCACGAACCTTCCAGGTGAGCGAGTAGCGTTAGGCAACAGTCGACCTCCTCTCTGCCGTCCTGGCATTCTGTTCTTATTTCTCATTCTCCTTCTTGGATATCTTGCACCAAACACCCGGCCTTGAGGTGGTCGTTTGTTGCGGTGCATCCTTCGTCTCTTCCCGGATCCACGAGGAAGATTAATAGGATCAACCCCATTTCCAGCGCGTCTAGTAGGCACTGTGCTAGTCTCTGCATTTGGTCTCCTAAAATCTACCCTCAGTCCACCTCTTACTCTTGCTTCATCAGTTTCAGTGGTTAATGAAGGTCCAAGATCTTGTTTTGTCCTGTTGTTGTTAAGACCAGATCCTTCAAGTACATTTACAGGCTTCTGAGTGAGTGTCACAGGGATTTGAGTGGGTGCCACAGGGGTTTGAGTGGGTGCCACAGGAGTTTGAGTGGGTGACACTAGGGTTTTAATAGGTGACGCAGGGGTTTCGGTGGGTGACACTGAGGTATTAGTGGTTGCTACCTCCACCCTGTGGCCACCAATGTATGGTCGCCTCCTGCCTGGTCTTCTTGGTCTGTAATGTGGTCTTTCTCTGCCAGTAGTGCGTACTAAATCCTTATTATGAGGTCTTCTTTTCGTCGATGTTTTTCGATTCACAAAATCCGATTTATTTTGTTCTCTGTTCATCGGTCGACGTGATCGAGACTGGAGATGTTTCCGGGGGTGTCTAACCCGAGGTCGGCGCCTTGGGAGAGATAAGCCCCTGTCTTCTAATGGCATTGATAACCGAGACACAGCAGTTTGGCCATTGCTGTGTGCGTCCCTTCTACTGTTGGGCAAGACAACACGGCCAGCGGTCTCTGGCACACGTTGAGAAGAAAGGTTGATAGTGGTGGAACCTGTTGCATTATTCCTCGGTGCTCTGAGTGTGTAAGAAGACCCCACCAGTCTGCGTCTCGGCATACCTGATGGTTGTCTATACTTACTCGTAAAAGAAACTGATTCTGGATTGACGGAAGTTTTGGGTGGAAGTGAAGAAGAGAGAGTGTTAGAGTCTAAATCTCCAGAATGAGAAGAAGAACTTGCAGAGATTGGTGTTAATATGGAGCTGTCAAAGTGCCCATTTGAAAGAGAAAATGAGGAGTTGTCGACAAGTTTCAGTGTACGAGTTAAAAGCTCGAGTTGCAGCGATGATGCATTGTGACTAACGTCCGTGTCTATCGGTTTATGGAACTGTTCATGCTTGTGTTGTATTTTTGACGAGACACGGGACGCAAGAAGGAAGTTGGCTTCATTTGGTCGTGCGGGAGAATCTGGTTCTTCCTGATCATGCAAGGCTCGCGTCTTAAGACTACGAAGCTTGGTGCTGGTTACATGGCTGTTGGTCTCAGGCAATTCTACCGTTGACGAGGAACCCGAAGATGTTTCGGTATTTACGTCGTCTTGTGTAGACTGCGCCTGTGTCTCTGATTTCTCCCCTGTTGCACGTCGATCCACAGACGCATCCAGATTCACTTCCCGGCCATCTGGATTCACCTTCCAGTCGTCAGTGACTGTATGCAGGACTGGAGGAGCGGGCAAGGAGGTCATTGGCCTGACAGTGGTGCCATGAGTGAAGGTCACCGTGGCAGGGGGCTGGTGTGTCGTGCTGGGGTCAGTTGGAGAGGTCACATGAGTTCGCCCACTTGTGGCCTGATAAGACTTCACAGCAGATCGCCTCAAGACTGCAACATGACCCTCCAGATGGTCTACTGATGAGTGTACCGTCTTACTGGGCACAGACTGGAGGGCTAACTCTCTCTCAGGGTCCCCTAGTGTGTGAATCCCTGGCAAGTTGCTACTGTCCGAGCCGTGGCTTGGCCTTGGGGAAGCCACGGCTAGGGAGGCAGTGGATGCCTGGAGAGAGTTCCCTGGAGTGGCAGTGGAGGATTCTTGCAAACATGAATGCAATGAAAAGGAATAAGCTTCACATAGATCCTGCAACACAAAACAATGAACAGCTATAATGCGAGTAAGTGGCTTCTGTATCTAAACAAAAAGTAGCCTACACTAACACAGATCTTAGTCAAGTAGTTTGTTTGTTTGTTTTGGGTAGACTGTATCACAAAGTAGTAAGTGACAACGTGCAGCCACCTTACAACAGTAGTTATTCCACTCTTAAACGTGGAACATGGCCACTCTACCTGCCTAACTTTAAACCCCCCTCATCAGTGGTGTGAGGTCACGACACAACAGCAACATTTTATCAACAAAAGTAGTCCCTGACACCCTAATTGTTGCCTTTAATAGAATTACAATCTATAAAATTCAACATAACGCAATTATAATAAGTGCGATCTACACAACACCAACGAGACCTTGTTGGTGAGAATAACCTAACTGCTGTGTCGTCAGCTTACACCACCGACACTGTTGCTGCTTAAACAGAGTTTGTCACCCATAATAATTTATACGGAGAACAGACAGACAGACAGACAGACAGACAGGTGTATCTGGGGTTGACAAACAGACGGGCAAGTGACCAGGACACTGATACCAGACAAAAATAAAAGGATAGGGATAATATATGACCGAATTGGAAAAATAACTTAAAAAGTCGTTAATTTTAGATAAAATGAGAATATAACCAGGAAAGGTGTTAATAATCTAGACGATAACTAAAGGCAGAAATACTTTAAAAAGATTTACAAAATGCAGGGTATCAGAGCACCTCCCGTCATCACATAAAAGAAACATTAACAACTTAACCACATATGATAACCAGGAAACAGACGCGAGAAGAAATACATAAAATTACAGAATAAACAAGATGGGGAAAACCAATTGATGAAAAAAAAAAAAAGCAATCAGGAAAGAGAAAAAATAAATGATAACCAATGATAGACAAGCATAAAGGATAAAATAATGACAGCCAATCAGAAGGCAGACATAACCAAGAACCAATCAGAAAATGAAAAAAAAAAAAAATCTACCAGAGAACCAGTTAGAGGAAGCAGACTAACGTTATTACTTATGTCTTACCTTACTGTCCTTTTGGTGGAGAATTAAAGAAAAAACCAAAATAAGTCGGTTAAATGGCATCATTATTAATACAAGTAAAGGAAAAGAAGTAAATATTGGAATTCCTGTTACCTGATTGCCCCCGACCCTCCCTCCCTCCTCCACCCCCCCTCCCAAAATAGAAACTCCCCCTATTAAAAAGTGAAGGATATCATTAAAGGAATTTCTTGAATGATTTATTTTTAATTGTGGAAAGTAATGGATGTGCTTAAAGGATTTTGTTGAGAAGAGTAAAACTGGGGTTGTTGGTGGGAATAGTTAATTAGTGTGTGTGTGTGTGTGTGTGTGTGTGTGTGTGTGTGTGTGTGTGTGTGTGTGTGTGTGTGTGTGTGTGTGTGTGTGTGAGTGAGTGTGTGTGTGTGTGTGAATCCATTTTCTTCCCCTTTGATCTCATAACAGGAATTCCATCAATTATTCTTCTCGATCAAACACATAAAATATCTGAAAACGAGAACATTATTCTTAAAGGGACATGAATACAGTTTAGCACAGTTAAGACACAACTAGGCGACTAAAAGTGTTCTAATTTCTCTCTCTCTCTCTCTCTCTCTCTCTCTCTCTCTCTCTCTCTCTCTCTCTCTCTCTCTCTCTCTCTCTCTCTCTCTCTCTCTCTGTGTGTTACATAAGGGTCTCGCAGCAACTGTTGCATCAGGCTGGTGAGGTTGCAGGCCTTCCGTGACCCCATGCACCAGTCTATCCTTGTACCGACTCAACACAGACCCAGCGACCATCTTAAATACACCGCTAAAGACCACAGAGACCCACCCCTAACCCACTCTATAACACTAGAGACCGTTTTAAATCCGCTAAAGCAACTTACACTTTGTTAATTGTATATAAACCATAATGTCACTGTGAGATCAACAACTTGTTATTATGAGAAAATACCAGTTAACTTCCACGAGTACTTGTTTACGTCACAGAATTCCAGTCAAGACCAGGATACTTTTTAAAGACCAAATATCAAAGTTATTCAGCCCTAAAAAGTTATCTAAATGAGACCATTACAAGTCAATATAACAGAAAGACCATTAAAGATCATTGTAACACTAAAAGAACATTTCAGATTTATACAAGACCAAATAAGACCATTATCGGCTATAATGTGAGGATAAAAGACCAATTTACACCACTAACACCTGGGAAGCTAATTTGCAAAAGCTATAAAAACTCCAACCAAAATTTAATATACGAATCACCTGAAAATTAGACACCCCAGTTTATTTAATTTTAAGATTTATCACCCCAACGATAACCCAACCTAACTTAGCATAACCTAACTCACCTTAACCTGACCTAACCTGACCTAACCTGACCTAACCTGACCTAACCTGACCTAAACTAACCTAACCTAACTCAAAGAATAACTTAATCACCTAATGGCACCTAGTAACAGTCGTAGAATATATTCTAAAAACAAATTAAGAGACCAAAATATTACACCAAAAGACCACAAGATTATTAGCTGTCAGACCAATGACCTCTGAAGACCAACACCAAAAGACCACATGAGGGTTATAGAACTTTCAGACCCCAAAGACCACTGAAGACCAATGGAGACTTTATCACATTAGAGTTGGTTAAGACCACATCTAATTCATTAAATGACCAAATAAACCGAGTAAACGACCACGTTAAGACCACAGGAACTACAGTATTCAAAGACCAAAGAGTATTAATTACAAACCTTAGAATAAAAACAATAACAAATTGGTAACTGCACCAATAAAGACCTCAGTATTAAATTCGATATAACATTAATTATTCCAAGACCACATTACCTAATTAAGAAAGGTTTTTATTCCATAGTTCCAAAAGCATGATAATTAACTGAATATATTAAAAACCACTTACAGAATATCATAACTAATTAAAGACCACAATAACTAATAATTATACAACAATAACTAATTAAAGACCACATTAACTAATTAAAGACCACAATAACAAATTAAAGGCCACAATAACTAATAAATATACAACAATAACTAATTAAAGACCACAATAACAAACTAAAGACCACAATAACTAAAAACCACAATAATAATAAATATACAACAATAACTAATTAAAGACCACAATAACTAATAAATATACAACAATAACTCTTAAAGACCACAATAACTAATAAATATACAACAATAACTCATTAAAGACCACAGTAACTAATTAAAGACCACAATAACTAATAAATATACAACAATAACTAATTAAAGACCACAATAACTAATAAATATACAACAATAACTCATTAAAGACCACAGTAACTAATTAAAGACCACAATAACATAAATATACAACAATAACTCATTAAAGACCACAGTAACTAATTAAAGACCACAATAACTAATAAATATACAACAATAACTCATTTAAAGACCCACAGTAACTAATTAAAGACCACAATAACTAATAAATATACAACAATAACTCATTAAAGACCACAATAACTAATAAATATACAACAATAACTCATTAAAGACCACAATAACTAATTAAGACCACAATAACTAATAAATATACAACAATAACCATTAAAATTTTAATAACTAATAAATATACATAACAATAACTCATTAAAGACCACAATAACTAATAAATATACAACAATAACTCATTAAAGACCACAGTAACTAATTAAAGACCACAATAAATTAAAGACCACAATAACTAATAAATATACAACAATAACTCATTAAAGACCACAGTAACTAATTAAAGACCACAATAACAAATTAAAGACCACAATAACTAATAAATATACAACAATAACTAATTAAAGACCACAATATCTAATAAATATACAACAATAACTAATTAAAGACCACAATAACTAATTAAAGACCACAATAACAAATTAAAGACCACAATAACTAATAAATATACAACAATAACTAATTAAAGACCACAATAACTAATAAATATACAACAATAACTCATTAAAGACCACAATAACTAATTAAAGACCACAATAACTAATAAATATACAACAATAACTCATTAAAGACCACAGTAACTAATTAAAGACCACAATAACTAATAAATATACAACAATAACTCATTAAAGACCACAATAACTAATAATTATACAACAATAACTCATTAAAGACCACAATAACTAATAAATATACAACAATAACTAATTAAAGACCACAATAACTAATAAATATACAACAATAACTAATTAAAGACCACAATAACTAACTAAAGACCACAATAACTAACTAAAGACCACAATAACTAAAAACCACAATAATAATCCAAAATATCTCATAAAAAACAAGATATTTCATTATAATTAATTTTATTATAATATTAGTTTTTAAAGCAATAATATTAACCACATCCACAACCCACCAACCCACTCTTAACCCACCAACCCACTCTTAACCCACCAACCCACTCTTAACAGACCAACCCACTCTTAACCCACCAACCCACTCTTAACCCACCAACCCACTCTTAACCCACCAACCCACTCTTAACAGACCAACCCACTCTTAACCCCCAAACCCACTCTTAACCCACCAACCCACTCTTAACAGACCAACCCCCTCTTAACCCACCAACCCACTCTTAACCCCCAACCCACTCACAACACATTCTTAACCCGCCAGCCCACTCTCAACCCGCCAGCCCACTCTCAACTCACCAGCCCACTCTCAATCCCCAGCCCACTGTTAAAGAGCCTTATCCCATTAACCATCGCATCAAGCCATCAAAGACGTCTCTTACTTAACCCACTACAGGTCTTCCAAAGAGCCAGTTTATCACGCTGAGCCCTTTAAGACCCCTTCTTAATCCACAAACATTCCAAAGGCCCAACTTCAAAGACCTCCTCTCCACATTCTAAGACTTCAATCCACCTGTGATCTCCTTTATTCCTGAGTTCAAGACCAACTCTGGCCCCCATAAACCACAAACATCAAAGCTCTAAGCCCACCTCAAAGACCTCCTTATCACATTCCACAGGTCCAGAGCACCTCAAAGGCCACCCTCTTAACCCAAAAAAGCTAGGACCTGGGGCGAGGCATCTTAAGACAAGTAACAAACTTTGCGTAACTTGGGCTCCATCAGATGTAAAGCGGCGGGTCGAGTCCTGTGTTCTCCTGGCCACACTAAGTTCTACTTCCCGGCTACTTGTTAGTCGAGTCGAGGAGGAGTTTCTCTAAGTTAACTCTGCTGCTGAATATATATATATATATATATATATATATATATATATATATATATATATATATATATATATATATATATATATATATATATATATATATATATATATATATATATATATATATATATATGTGTGTGTGTGTGTGTGTGTGTGTCTGTGTGTGAACTTCTACCAGTTGTGGCTCTTGTTAACTGTACTGTACGTTTCGGTAGTCAGAGAAACGGTCCCATTAGTGCCTGAGAATCGTCCCCGGTATTACCAATGAAATGTTCCCGATATTGCCACTAAAACGTTTCCGGTAGTGGTACAGTAACGCCCCCGGTAGTGCCGGGAAAACTTTCTTGGTAGTCCAGAGAAATATCCCCAGTAACACCGTAGGAACGTCTCCGATTGTACCCGCAGGTACATTTGCCACCCCTACCCTTCACCCCTTGCACCTCCCCCTCCCGCTCCCAGTACTCATGGCAATGGCCAGGACAAAAGGACTCACCTGCACGATGGGTCCGGCCATACGATCGAGGAACTCCTTGGTGAAGAGTGCGGTCTCGTTACCACAGGTCTCGAACACCACCCGCTCGGAGCACTGAAGGTACTCCTGGAATGAGCTGAAACAACACATGCACTTGGTGGTTAGTTCGGTGTCTTTACCAAGCATCAGCTAATGTAGGTCAAAAAGGGAAACAGAGATGACCCAGCAGACAGTTAGTGACGTAGAAATAGTATTATCGATAATTAATCAGTGACACAGCTGGTGTTTTAACCAATCTCTGATATAAACATGACATTATAAACTAACAGTGACACATATGGCATTATACTTAATTAATCAGTGACAAGATAAATGACATTATACCTAATTAGTGAACTAGAAATGACATTAGAACTACTCGGTGACACACAATTAACCCGTAGACGTGTGTTATATTGGAAGTTTCAAGTAACATCTGAAACAGTGTGGCATACTGTAATATAATGTTAAATATTACATTATTACAGATCCACTTGAGATGAATACAATGGTGACTTGCCACACTACTCACCAGCAGAGAGTGATCACATTCTTGTTCTTCTCCTCTTCACTGAGCTGCACCACGGCGTCATTGAGTTGGTTCAGGTCGGCGGTCTTCTCGTGGTACACCTCCGAGCACTGGTTGTACTTGGGGTTAACCTGTCTCATGCAGGGAGCGTGGCGGATATATTCTGAAACAGGTACCAGGGTGGTTACTGGGGGGGCTATCGGGAGGGTTATTGGGGGCTACCTGGACCGATACTGGGGTCTGGGAGCTACCAAGAGTGTTACAGGGAACTATTCAAGACAGTTACAGGGGGCTACCAAGTGAGTTAATCCATCAGAGGACATCGGCGCACTTAGGTATTGTATTTTAGCTAATGCCAGATAATTTTATTCAGCCGGGAGAAACCCCTAACCCCTATCCTCTAAAGGGTTAAGTAGGTTTACGTATAGAAGACATAAATTTTACCTGATCTCCCTTAATTAATTATATATATGAGGAGTGATATAAATTAAGTAGAGTGCCCTAGAGAATCTGTCTGTCTGTCTGTCTGTCTTGACTAACCATTTCAGAATGCTACCGTGTGCCAACAATCACCGGAAAACATGGTTAAATTAAATATATAAATTGTAACCATCATGTCAACGTAAAGAACAGTAGGGAAAAAAAGAGTAGACAGAGATAAAATAAAGTGAAGAATGAAGAAAAATAAAAGGCAGAATAGAGAAAAAGATGAGATGCATAGTGGTTAGGTGATGCTTAAGTCGAGATAACCGAGAAGAAGAAATAAAAAAGAGGAGAACAACAAGGATAAAGGGACGAACAGAACCTCATAGTCACACCACAGTCAAGATAATACCCAATAATATTCACATTTTCTGTAACTCTTGTTATGATTTCTGTGTCGCCTTCGCCTGCCCCTGACAGTCTACAGTAGTGTATAGGTTAGCCAGTAGCCGGCCATGGTTACACCCAGTTTTTACTTATTCTCCATCATCCTCAAAGGTTACTGCATGATGTAAATAAACACTGAGAATATAAGTTGACATATATACAAAACTTTTCAATATTTCTAATTCATTCAAATAAGTTGAGGGCAGCCTATGCCAGCAGTGGCGTGTATAGTTAGGAAGGTAAGTATGCATTCATTGTCCTATGGATTGGCTCGCATAATTATTTTTCTTGGTAAACGACTTTCAAATGATAGCACTATATTTGCTGAGATTTGGTGAGGAAGCTAGTTAGCACTGATTCATATTAGAATAACTTCAATGAAACTTGTTTGTAAAGTTATTTAAAGGAAGCTTCTGAGAGCATCGTCTGAAGCGACTGACTATACCGAGCAGGGAAGGATTCCACTTAGATCTAACCACGCTGCTCTACCTGGTGTGGTTAACCATTGCCAGGTGCAGATGTTGCTTTCATGAACACTCTGTCCTATACCTAAATACAGTTATTTAACACCAAACTATTTTTCAGTGAATTTTACAATTCATTAACTATACCCTCCATAATATTGAATGGTCATAAAAACTTTCCCAATGCTCAATTTTGTGTACTACATCCGGTATGGGTGGCCCGGCCCACCTGGTGATCAGCGCCTCTATATATATACACCTTGGTTTGTATTTCTCTCTCTAGTCTGTACTCACCCCTGAAGATGTGAATTACACGAAAGCGCTTGGGAACTTCGTGTTTTCTTCTTTCCTTGTGGTTATCAGCATATACCTAGATCACGCGCACCTACAGTGATTTACTTGCATGTATGTGTATATATATATATATATATATATATATATATATATATATATATATATATATATATATATATATATATATATATATATATATATATATATATATATACACACACACACTTGTGTGTATTGAGTGTAGATGGAGAGGGGGGCATGTTTATATTATGAAATTTGTAGTAGGGGCAGCTACTCTCCATTGAATTAGTTAATGTGCTCAGTAATATTTATATATCCAATATAGCATTACTGCGTTGCACAGTAAAGCACAATTAATTATCTAATGATATTTATTTACAGAGCCGATCAGTCGAGAAGGTTGGACAACTACTTCCAGGGTTCATCATGGCAGATGAAAGAAAATTATCAACAGTAGATATCTTTATGATTGTAGAGTATTATCAAGAACTCGGCCATCCAGCTATGAAGCACGTTAAATTACATCTGTCATGTGATCATCTCAAGCCCATCCCCTGGCCAGGTCGTCCCTATAGTCCTTCCACAACATTAAATATAGATATTAGTGACGAAAACTTACATTGCATACGGTCACAAGTCCCGTATTTCTGCTGGTAACAACACACACCACAGCTGGCTGGGCGGCTCCCGCCAACCAGTGACGTCACAATCAATCACAGCTTTTCGCAGTCACGTGACTTTTTAGCAACTTTAACCCTTATTTTTTACACGTTTTAGCTAAATTTATTTTAAAATATCATTACCATAGTGAATTTAAGCGTTTTCTTTACCCATTGACCTGCATCTTACGAAAATATTCCGACCGTCAACTCGTCCATTACCAGCCAGCAATGTGCGCTGGCCACGAAACTCGCAGTACTTCAGAGATCTGTCAGGCTCATCTGAGCCAAAGTCATAGATAGGGAGAGTGGCCACTCACATTCCAGGTGTCATCTTGCCACTCGCTACACTCCCTCCCAGCGTGCACACTACTGTAAGGTTTTTCACTTGCCCATTAAAATGTTCGTTATAAATACTCATGATTGTTTTTAATGTCATGTCTAATATATATTATTATAGGGTATAAAAATAACTATTGATCAATAAAACTGGGTAAACAATATTGAACAATAGTGTATTATATTGCATGAAAATAAAAGAAAAATAACTGCATTCATTTATATATCTTAACTGCAGCCTTCATCATGCTCTTGCTTCCTAATTCACGTCTAGCTTTTGTTAGTTGAACCTTAGCCTTACCAATGTTGTCTTGTTTTCGTGCATAAATGTGCTGCCGTGCTGCCGTACAGTGAACAAATGTGTAAGTAGTTTACTTTTAATATTATGACAGGAAGGAAGTGCAATGCTCTTCGTTTGAGTTTCTGCCAGGTGCACAAGGCGTTTTACTAAACTACTCCTGTCTGCAAGACGGTTATCCCTTTATCTAAATATTTTCTGCGCGTCCATAAAAATATTCATACAGTCTGAGTCATTAGTGCAGTAAAAGAAACTATTTTCTTTATACTCTTTTAGTTGGGTAAGATTTTGCGAAGGACCTGTTACGGGTGACTGCTTGTTCTCGACCACCAGCAGACAAGACGCAGTGAGTGTTAGAATTTTTCATTTTTTTTCACGCAGTAACCTACAAGGTATTGTCGGCTGCTCATATATGTTAATATTTGCTCTATAGTATACCCTGTTTCGCTGTTTCGTTGAGAGCATCATCGATTGCTTCAACACTTGGCTTATCAAGGAAATCGGCAAGAAATTCACGATCGTCTAGTCTACTATGTAACTGCTTGCATTTGGACATTTAAAAAATGAGCAAATGAGATCAATTTTAGAGCTTACCGAAACTCTAAGGCAGTTGGTATTTGGTTTTTCATCCTTATGGAGCTAAACAAGATTTCCGGACAATCTTGGGTGAACCTTGACGTGAGCAAATACTTCATGATCTTTGGCCAAATAGTCTATTTGAAGATTAAGTATTGCAGTCGTGGATAGGTATCACACCAATTTGAACTGATTTCCACTGTCCCTAACGTTATGAAGAGGGGGGGGTAGTGCGCTTGGCGGAAAAGCCACTAAGATCAGAGCCATAAATAGGGAGAGTTTGGCCAACCTGGGTCTCTAACAAGTCGTCGAGCATGATTGGTCAGTACAGGTCACGTGACCACAAGGAGCCATATTATCTCTGCCCCCCCCCCCACCCCCACGTTGTACTTTGCCTCCGCCTCTCCCCCGCCTCAAGTCTATTCAGGACTTCATTACGTGGTTGATATTGATAAAACCACATGAAATACTTGGTTGCGTGTGAAGGATGCAATAAAGACTTACTGACAACAGAATGGTCCATTAATTTTATAAAAAAGTGGTTTAATTCAATGTCTAGCAAACACCCAAGCATGGCACTAAGTAAACTCAGTGAGTCATCTTACGAAGAGGATTATATTATCTCCTCTTGAGACAGTGATGTGGGTGTTCAAGGAAATATCTATTAGGGTAAAACGACACTTTTACGTGAATATGTGAGGTTTACACTTGATTCTACTCTTTATAAAACGGCCATTTTTTCCCGTTGCTTTATATGTTTGGTGTCATTTGTGTTGATATACATAATAATTAGTGAAAAGTGAAGAGGTAATAATTTACTCCGAATGTGTTCACCGAAAGCGGAATTTGTTTGCGACTTCGGATGCAAATATTCTTTATTTCAAACCTCTTTTCCACTCATATCTTGAAAGTTAATGTTTTTAAGCAGTTATATGTTTACAGACATTAAATTCGGCATTAACATGAAGCATAACTGGGTATTCTTAGCAGTTCTGTATGGATTTATTCGCGATATATCAATATTAATCGAACATTCGTAGTAAGCCAATGAGTTGCAAGGGGGGCGGGGCTTCTTAATCAATCACCGTCAGATAAAAACAAAAAAAACAACTACTGTATAACTATAAAGTTTATAATATCTAAATGCACAGCTGACGTAAAAATTAAAGACAAATATATATATTTCACACGCAGGAGTTAATAAAGTACTACATACGGTTTATTGATCATTCCTCTACCAGTTTCACTTATTAACGCCAGGGAGCAGACGAGGAGGTGACCACTGGAGCCAAGGGCCTCTCCTCGTACCGTACTTGAGGTCCTCCCACGTCTTCCACAATGTAGCCACGTCAGTTTTAACATTAGTGGTGACATTTTTCTACCAATTGTTGTCGGGGCATTATTACCTTTTTTGAGAGCTGTTCTGTAGGGTTTTAAGTCCTCATGGGATATTCTCCGACCTTAAAGGGAATATAGTAGCTTCTCTTCACTTCCTTAACCCCTTTATCCCTCCCTTTCCCCCACTCCCTTTCTCACCCTTATCCCACTCCCCCCGCACCCCTTCTGCCCTCCCTCCCTTCCACCTGGTCTACACACTCAACACAGCAGCGTGTAAAAAAGCTAGTAACACAGTGGTCCACAA